GTAGCTAAAATTAGTTATATACTTAATTCAGCTATTCAAATAACTTGATTTAGCTATTGGCATGACAAATCATATTGCTATTTCATGATAATTATATATATTTTGCTTTTCTGTGACTTATTTAACATGTACCTCTTTCATTAGCCATGCAGGTAAATACTTTACCACAGGAACTCCTTTTTCATCAGTCGTAATTATATCTTTGCATTCTTTTTCAATGCTGCACAGGTAAGATACATCACCCTTACTTAAAACTAGTGTTGTCAAATTGGCTGAAAATCAAAATTGATTAATTGGCAGCATTGGTTGACTCTTATCAACTGATAATTGGCCAATAATCAAATCAATAACCATTTGTATAAAATAGGCACTAAATTTTATATACAACATAAACGTAAGTAAAAGGGTATTACACAAATTAAAATGCAGTTTCATTAACAATTTCAGTATCACAGAATTTTACATGATTAAGATTTTATACTTTTAAAAAATCAAGTATTGACAGTGTTTTAATCAACATGATCACCTAGAATATGGAATTGAATTTGTTACTGTTTATTAGGCAGTTAATTTAGCAAAACAGCATGATCCATGTGATTCCATTTAATTGAAAGCCAACTTTCCCCCCAAACACTGATAACCAATTTATTTATTTACAAGCAGTTTAGTTTCTTTGGTTTTGAAATATAAATATCATTTTAGTCTCCTAATCTTTTTTAGAAATTCAAGCATAGTTTTACTTATCTGTAAGAAAACCAGCTTATTGTATTAACCCAGATTTTTAGTATGATAAACAACACTGGGAAGATATTTATGGAAGATTTATATCGATAACAAAACTTTTTCTTGGAATAAAAGTGTAAAACAATAAAAAGATATGTGCTATAATATAGCAATTATAATCAATTATTAAATCTCTAATCGATTGTCTAAAATTGATGAGCTTTCCAATCAATGATCGATTATAAATTGATCATTGTGACAACACTACTTTATATGTGTATCCACCATTGACATGCATTATCCATTGGTTACCGCAATTTGTTTCAGTATTAACAATTTCCATGACTTCTGAAACCTATCACTGACCAGTGTGAACTGCGAAATTCATTCAATAAATTTTTATCACACCATGAATTCATACTCTCGACTATGAATAGAACTCTATGAGCAGAAGAGGAAATACGGAAAATACTTAAGAAATGAATTTAACTTTTGAGAATTCATAAGGACTTGAACTACGACGCTTTAAGCCGGCATATTTCATGAAACGCGCTAGCACTTCATGATAAATATGCAGGCGTGAAGCGTCGTAGTCCATGTACCTCATGAATTCTCAAAATTATATTCATATCTCATATTTACATTATTTTTCTGATGACTTGCCAAATATTATTGTCATTCAACGATCATTTTTTTTAAAAAGTTTGCTCTATTTTTTGACTTCAATTACCTCACAACGGAAATATTCCTACTCATCTCATGTTAGTTCATGAGAACGTGAACCTTTTCTACTTTGCAAAGAATCTTAAGGAAAAATATGTGGAAATGTAAATATAAGTAAATATCACATCCATTTGATGCTTAGCACTATCCCTGACCATTCAAAAAACATGGAAAGGAGGTATCAAATAAAGGAGACATCACACAACTTATAGAAAAAAAAAACAAAAGCAATGTGAATTAGTCACGGAAAAGCAGAGGGGGGATACACAATCACAGAAAAACAGGACAACTTAAGTAATCATACTTATCCCTGCCTCCCCAAACACAAATGGTGTACAGTTACCTAAACTACAGAAATACATCTTTGCTTAAGTTTTCAAAAGCAGCAATGTTTAAATTATTTTTCATTTGGATTGCATTATAAGCATTTTGAGCACAAATATAAGTAGTCACATACTTGCAACTTTATGTCTATTTCTTATAGAAACCATGATCATTTGTGAAAACTGTTTACATAGATTTATCGAGCTATACATGTATAGCCCTATAGCTAAATCATGAGATGTTGGTGCCGGACTAGTCTATATCAGTCAGTCACGTGATGCCCTTCCTATAGCAGGCATATATCAGCTTCTACGCACTTGTTTATCTAGCATAATTGCTCAGTTGTGTCAACAGTGGATTCGCTTTATTCAATACAACAAAAAGAACATTTTTCCATATAATAAACAGGATACCGTTTTATCCCGTTAAACACCCTTGCAATGTACCAGAAATAAAACCTTCTTTAAAAAAAACTAGAAATATGTCCATAGGACATGAATGCCCCGCCAAGGGTATATTAGTAATGCAACATTTTAACACAAATTGAGAAAAGTGAGGTCAAGGTCAAAGGAAAGGTCAAGGTCAAAAAATATTGCTGCAGTTGAATAGCTTACATCAGTATGTATCAGCATATGACGTTTGATTCAGAAACTAATTTAAGAAAAGTGAGGTCAAGATCAAAGGAAAGGTCAAGATCAAAAAATGTTGATGTAGTTGAAAAGGTTACATCAGTATGTATTAACATATGAAGTTTGATGAAAATATTATGAATGGTTTCTTTAAAACTTAGCTAAACACTAATTTAAGAAAAGTGAGGTCAAGGTCAAAGGAAAGGTCAAGGTCAAAAAATATTGATGCAGTTGAATAGCTCTCATCAGTATGTATCAGCATATGAAGTTTGACACTAATTTAAGAAAAGTGAGGTCAAGGTCAAAGGAAAGGTCAAGGTCAAAAAATGTTGATGCAGTTGAAAAGGTTACATCAGTATGTATTAGCATATGAAGTTTGATGAAAATATTATGAATGGTTTCTTTAAAACTGAGCTAAACACTAATTTAAGAAAAGTGAGGTCAAGGTCAAAGGAAAGGTCAAGGTCAAAAAATATTGATGCAGTTGAATAGCTCTCATCAGTATGTATCAGCATATGAAGTTTGACACTAATTTAAGAAAAGTGAGGTCAAGGTCAAGGGAAAGGTCAAGGTCAAAAAATGTTGATGCAGTTGAATAGCTCTCATCAGTATGTATCAGCATATGAAGTTTGTTAAAAATATCTTGAATGGTTTCATTAAAACAGAGCTAAACATTAATTTAAGAAAAGTGAGGTCAAGGTCAAAATAAAGGTCAAGGTCAAAAAAATGTTGATGCAATTGAATAGCTTACATCAGTATGTATCAACATATGAAGTTTGATTACACTATCTTGAATGGTATCTTTAAAACAGAGCTAAACACTAATTTAAGAAAAGTGAGGTCAAGGTCAAAGGAAAGGTCAAGGTCAAAAAATGTTGATGCAGTTGCATAGCCCTCATCAATATCTATCAGCATATGAAGTTTGATAAAAATATCTTGGATAGTTTCTTTGAAACTGAGCTTTGAACAGAGCTAAACGCAAAGTGTGACGGAAGGACAGACGGAAGGACAGAAGGACGGAAGGACGGAAGGACGGAAGACGGACATGACAAACACTATATGCCCCGGCCATATTCATGGCGGGGCATAAAAAAATCGGTTTCTATCGGTCTATGGCGTGCCTCAAACTGTATTTAATCGTGATGAAGAATGAAATACGTCTGACAGTCATAAGTTTCAAATGCACAAAATGATAAATACAATACCTTTCTCTAGTAATTCTGGCTAAGCATACACATGCAGTGACATACCGATGATACTCGTAAAATAACAACGGGAAACATAATTTTCCACGTAAATTTCAACACTGACGTACAACCCTATACATTCCGGAAATGTTAAAAAAAATTTTCTCAGGCAAAAAAAAAAAAAAAAAAAAAAAAAAAAAAATCAGGCCCGTATACGTAGGCAGCATTGTAAGTTGGGAGGCTGAGATACAACCAGTTTTTTTTTAAGGAGAGGCACAAAAAAAATTATTTATTTTTTACTTGAAGATAACTCTGTCATTGAATTTTGCCTAATGTTTTGAATTTGTCCAATGACATCAAGGGTGAAAACAAAAATATGGTTGAAAATTTTCTATATACAGTACTTGTTGATCATCAGAAAGTTTCATTGATTGAGTGTAAAAATCAATTTGTATCAGTTAATGAAGTTTGATGCGTGAAAATATTTTGAAGTTTCTTTGAACTATAAGCAACAATTATGCTGCCGATTCCTTATTTTATTACAAAGGTTTTTAATTCCATAAATTCCATAAACTTATCAAAAACATATAAATAAAACTTACAATTCTGCTACAAGAAATACACGACTCTAACACCATGGTGTATTTTTGGGAACAGAGAAATTTGGAGATGTATGTTTTCCAGGCATGCTGTATCTCAAAATTAGGGAATACCAAAGTGGGAGCATCTCGTAATTAGTGTTTGCCACAGGTCCAAGAAAATTGCGTGTGTTGATTTAACAATGTAATTACATGTATTTGAATTCCTCAGACCATGAAGATGGGAAGGTGTTAAAATGTTAAACCATTAACCATAAATATAATTTTGTTTTTCAAATTTTCTGAGTTTCATTTAATTTTCTTAAAATTATACATTTACATAACCTTAAAAAAGCTTTGTGTACAAATTGACTTCTCACATTTGTATCTTGTTCACAAAACATGAAACTTTGTGTACGAGTTGACTTTTCCTTTTGTATACAAATTGACACCTTGTGTACGATTCAGTTTGTATACATGTCAGTTTGTGTACTATGAAGTAACTGCATGTAAATCACGGCAGGGCATAAAATCTCTCCATAACAAGAGAGGGGACATAAGACACACTATTAAAGCACTTGTCAGAATTTTATTATGACATTATACAACAACATGATAAAACACAACATGATAAAACTTTTTAAAAGTTATTCAAAAGTTAAAAAACACAAAATATGGTATCTAACAATAAATTAGAGCAAAAAAATTCCATATACAACATACATATATAAAACATTTTTGTTTTGGTTTTGTTTTTAAATTTTTATTTATTAATTTTTTTTTTTTTTTTTGTTTTACACCGTATACACTGTATACACCAATATTCTGCTGATTACCAGCACTGATTTCCCACTTGTTTGATCATCCTCTTGTCCTTCAACAGATGCGACAGTACATGTAATTTACTCTTGTACTCATCAATGTTTACATAACATCCCTGAAATACAAAAAATACAAAAAACACAAATTCACATAACACTGAATAACAAAAAATAAATTATGTTTGTACCGGTAGTATATGCAACAGGAAATTGTTAAATACAATATGTGTGGTAATGAAGTGTTTATAACTGCTGAAAATAAAACTGATGTGACCAGTCCTAACTATCCTGTGTACAAACAGGTAAGGCAGAGGAATAGACAGACATCATATAGACCAGAAGTTGGTGAACAATCAGGCCAACAAATATATAAGAAAGACATACTATGATAGCCTGAGATATATCTATGTAGAAAGGACATCAAATTAATTTGGTTTTTATCAACTATTAAATGACTAGTACACTGTATCTTTCATATATATATTCTGAGTATAAACTTCAAAACACAAATTGATATATATTTTAATAAAAAAACAAAAAGGCTAGCCAGTAAGTACCCAGTTCAATGCCCCATTGATATATTTGAGTTTCACTACAAACAAGAGGCCCATGAGCCACAATGCTCACCTGAGTCACTCTGGCACATTGGGAGATTTTTAAAAAGGATTTTTCCACTAAAACCACTATAGATGTATTTTCTATTTATATGATTGAAGACTACTTTTTGTTTGTTGTTATTTGTGCAAAATTATACAGCATTTTACATTTATTGACTGGGTTCTCGGGCAACATGCGTTTTGTTGGACCCAAGAACCAAATTGTTTGCCTGAGGCGGTTAGGCCAAAGGCAAACATTTTGGTTTGAGGGTCAACAAAATGCATTTTGCCTGAGAACACAGTCAATAAATGTTTTGTTATACCTTTTTATTTATTTATTTTATTATTTTTGTTTGACATACATGTACATGTATGTCAAACACAAGTGAATGCAAATGAGATTTTAGCTGACCCCGCCCATTATGTGACGTAAGCCATCCAACATCACATCAACAGGTCCAATATCTCAGTCTGCGGTCAAACATCGATTTTTTTATGCCCACTCAGTAAAACATTGGAAATGTTAGACTTTTATTAGTATTTATTTATATATGAACAAATTTTTAAGGTAAAACAAAACTATTTTTCATATACCAAAGCTGTCTTTAATATTGTATATCAGGTATTTTGGCACTGGGGATATTTGGCAAATTTGATATCAAAAAGGGATTTGAAATATTGGTGCTTTATATTTTTGAGGATTTTTAGTTGTAATCCTCTGTAAAGTAACTCTGTGAAAACTTTAATGGAAATGTTAGCACTTTATTTTATTGGGGGGGGGGGGGGGATTGGCCAAATAAACCAACTTTTGCAGTGCATTAATACATATCTTTTACCTTGGAATTTCATTCCTTTGAAACTTAATGCACAAAGTATATGTCACCATAGCTTAAGTCTATCAGAACATCAGAATATGACCTATGTGGCAAATTGCTTGGGTATTTGGATAAAGATTGACACTAAATGTAACAAGATTACATTGCAATTAAAATCCAGTTGTGAAGTTACTCTTCAGGGCCTAATCCAGAAGGCTCCATTACTTTTAAGGAATGGAGAGGCACTAGAACATTAGCTCAAACTTTATGTCTGTTTATCAATACATTCTACAGTGCAACAGAATCCTATTCAAAAACAAAACAATTACATGTATAAATAATAAAATTTCCAAAATATTTGGTTTAATCATAATGATGCTTGACAACCAGTTCATTTAAACGTGCTGTCTTCTGTATTCATAAAAATTTTATAGAATTTGCATCTTCTTCATAATATCAGTATGGGCAATATATGCAGGTTTTTCTTCTGTCCACTTTATACGAGTGAACACTTATTGCACTTCATTCATTGTATTGTGGCATGAAAGGCAACTGTTTCTGTTTGTATAGAACTTCAAGGTATTGATTGGTTATTCATAATTCTGATAAATAATATTTTTAAATAATAGTTGATCATATCGATCTGTAAGAGAATCAATAATTCTTTGACATATCTTATCTTGTTATATAATGATTACTTAAATACATTTTGCTTCTTGGCACTAAGTTGTAAGTGTACCTGTAAATGTCTCCCTCCCCCATTCAAGGTAAATGCATTTCTTCCATGAAGAACTCTTCTGTTATTAAAGGAGAGCAAATCACCAGGAACCATTTTGAACTCTAGCTGTAATGTAAGAAAACTGTACACTGAGATAGTGTGGGGACTGAGTTTCAGAACTGAACAATAAGTTTTGAAGATAATTTTCAGAGTTTATAAAAATTAGTTACATACATGTAAATGCTTATATACCTTTGCAGATGAATTTTTAATTGCTTCTGCAAATTTATGATAGGCTCTGTAATATGGTTCAACATCCCCCTAAAAAGAAGATTAAATATGAATGAGATGTTAAATTAATTTAATGTTAATTAATAGTGGTAATTAGAAGAAATGCAAATTTAATGATACACTAGAATGAGACTTACTGGTCTTACAGACAGGGGACCTTCAAATGCAGGTGCCCAGCTAATACTGGTAATCTACAATTAATTACATAAAATAAATTTCAATATAAATGACCAACTTTACCTCACCCTGGGGCCTGATCCCTGGACCTGGGGAACATGAATGTTATCACAATTTTTGTAGGTGCACTATACATGTATAATCATGCAAACAACTTATTCTCCGATTTTTCAAAGGTATACAATATTTTCAATTTACAAGCAACTTCGACCATAATCATGGAAACAACAAGAAGTCTGTGAGCCAATGCTCACTAGTAATACCCCGCTCTGATGTGAATTTACGCTCTCATGTGAATGTACATAAGTTCAGTTAAAGTGGAAATTTGGTACAGACAGGTGCACATATAAATAGGAAGTTGACATTGAATTCATGTAAAAATAAATTCCAAAATATGGCATGCCTGAACAAAGAGTGTGCTAAAATTTCAAGCATCTGCAAAGAGTAGTTGCTGAGGAAACTGTGATGAAAATTTGGTAATGACAGATACAGGGATAAACAGAAAGTTGATATGGGATTTGTACAAATATGAATCCCACAATATGGCATGCCAAAACAAAGAGTATCCTAAAATTTCAAGCAGCTGCAAAGAGTAGTTGCTGAGAAAACTGTGATGGATATTTGGTAAGGACAGATGCACAGATAAACAGGAAGTTGACATCTGATTCAAACAAAAATAAAACCCACCAAATGGCATGCCTAAACAAAGAGTGTGCTAAAATTTCAAGCATCTGCGATGAGTAGTTGCTGAGAAAACTGTGATGGATATTTGGTAAGGACAGATGCACAGATAAACAGGAAGTTGACATCTGATTTGAACAAAAATAAAACCCACCAAATGGCATGCCTAAACAAAGAGTGTGCTAAAATTTCAAGCATCTGTGATGAGCAGTTGCTGAGAAAACTGTGACGGATACTTGGTAAGGACAGACACACAGATAAACAGGAAGTTGACATCTGATTCAAACAAAAATAAAACCCAACAAATGGCAAGCCTAAACAAAGAGTGTGCTAAAATTTCAAGCATCTGCGATGAGTAGTTGCTGAGAAAACTGTGACAGAAATTTGGTAAGGACAGATGCACAGATCATCTGATTTGTGCAAAATGAATCCCACCATGTGGTATGCATAAATAAAGAGTGTGCTAAAATTTCAAGCATCTGTCAAGAGTAGTTGCTGAGAAAACTGTGACAAAAATTTGTTATGGACATACAGACACACACATAGACATACAAGGGTAAAACAGCATACCCCCTTCTCCTTTGGAGAGGGGCTATAATTAGTCTGCTAATTGTCTCTGAGTAGAGAATATTTTCCAAGATGTAATGTATTTCAATATATGACCAACTAAGACCCATCTTGGATCCAAAGATCATGGAGGCACGAATTTCACAAATTGTTCCCCCTTTACCCATTAGATGCTATGTACCAAAATTCACTGAAATTGATTTAGACATTCCAGCTAAGAAGCTTAAAATTTTCAAAAGTTACCTCAAAGTACCATGATATATGAAAAACATGTGGCCTAAAGAAATTGAATCTGTTTTTCACTGGATAATTGAACAGGCTTTTACATAAGTTTAGTGTTTCTGATTCAGTGTTGTAGAAAAGAGATTTTTGATTCACAAAAAAAAAACTTCCCTTTATAACAACAAAATTAAATCCTCATTTAAGGTAAATGCATTGCTGGAGAGGAAGATGAAAATTGAAAAAATATACAGGAGACTTGTGACAAACTACTGTCAAGTGGTCAGGAAGAATTTACACAGTCAAAATGATTGTAAATTTTTGGTTTTTGTTGTATACTAGTAGGCTATTTCTGTACAAGCAACCTGACCCCCCATCTTTTATCAGCACATTATTCATCACACGGGATTCCCTACCTCTTCCCTGTGGTTGAGTGATATAATAGGTTTCTGATACACCATATGAACTGGATTGTCCCTGCAAAAAATAGACATAACTAAAACAGAGAAATGGAATATTCTACATCCATTAGATTTTTATACATGATACTAGTATTAACTGTATGGTCACTTATTTTAGTGATAGCAGGTCAACCACGATAATATTTATATAATGGGCTGCAAGGAGCATGAAGTCATATTATATGAAAATTACTCTGCAGAGCTTTATTGGTTTACAGAAGACCCTGAACTGTGAAATTTTTGATACTTTTTGTCTAACATGAACAAGAGGCCCATAGTCAACAATGCTCACCAGAGTAACCAAAGTCGAAACTGCGAAAAGTTTTACCGACATACAAATGGACAGACAACTACATGGATAGAGGACAAAGGGCAATTGGAAAAGCTTACTTAAGCTCACAGGTACCCAATTAAAAGTGCATTAATCATCTAAAAATTACCTTATAATCTAAACACCTTTGTTGGCACAATGATTTTATAAGATTAAAGGTAGAATGGTTTCTGGAATGTTATCAAACTCAGTGTGACAATTTCACACGTTTACAATTTTCATATTTTCCCTCCAAATTATGACAAAGATATCAAGATGGTTTTCTTCCTACCTTTGAATGCTCTCAGACACTGGGATTTGGAGCCCTATATAGCTTGCATTAATATTTCTGATATATATTTTTACAGGATCATATTCAGTAGGGTTCATGAATTAGCATGCTCATGACTGCCCCAAAGGTGCCTCAGTTTAATAAAAAAACAAGAGGCCCATGGGCCACATTGCTCACCTGAGTAACTTTGGCCATGCTGTTCATTACCAGACTTCCCCCTTGTAATACCTATTGTGGCCCCGCCCTACCCCCGGGGTCATGATTTGAACAATTTAGAATCTACACTACCCCAGGATGCTTCCACATAAGTTTCAGTTTTTCTGGTCCAGTGGTTCTTGAGAAGATTTTTAAGATTTTTCCTATATATTTCAATGTTTCCCTATTGTGGCCCCGCCCTACCCCCGGGGTCATGATTTGAACAATTTAGAATCTACACTATCCCAGGATGCTTCCACATAAGATTCAGCTTTTCTGGCTCAGTGGTTCTTGAGAAGAAGATTTTTAAAGATTTTTCCTATATATTTCAATGTAAAACTTGGATTCCCTATTGTGGCCCCCGCCCCATCCCCGGGGGTCATGATTTTAACAATTTAGAATCTACACTACCCAAGGATGATTCCACATAAGTTTCAGCTTTTCTGGCTCAGTGGTTCTTGAGAAGAAGATTTTTAAAGATTTTTCCTATATATTTCAATGCAAAACTTGGATTCCCTATTGTGGCCCCGCCCTACCCCCGGGGTCATGATTTGAAAAATTTAGAATCTACATTACCCCCAGGATGATTCCACATAATTTTCAGCTTTTCTGGCCAAGTGGTTCTTGAGAAGAAGAATTTTATTTTTAAAAGATTTTTCTTATTAATTTCAATGTACAACTTGGACTCCCTCTTGTGGCCCCGCCCTACCCCCGGGGGTCATGATTTGAACAATTTAAAATCTACACTACCCCAGGATGCTTCCACATAAGTTTCAGCTTTTCTGGCCAAGTGGTTCTTGAGAAGAAGATTTTTAAAGATTTTTCCTATATATTTCTATGTAAAACATTGATTCCACATTGTGGCCCCGCCCTACCCCCGGGGGTCATGATTTGAACAATTTAGAATCTACACTACCCCAGGATGCTTCCACATAAGTTTCAGCTTTACTGGCCCTATTTTTGTCTTCTCTTAATTATCTCCCCTTGTGAGGGGACTTGGCCCTTCATTTTAACAATTTAAATTCCCCTTCACCCAAGGATGCTTTGTACCAAGTTTGGTCAAAATTGGCCCAGTGGTTCTTGAGAAGAAGTCAAAAATGTGAAAAGTTTACAGACGGACGGACAGACAGACAGACAGACGGACAGACAGACGGACAGATGGACGGACGGACGACGGACAAAATGTGATCAGAAAAGCTCACTTGAGCCTTCGGCTCAGGTGAGCTAATAAGTGAGTGAAAAGAAAAATTTAATTCATGTCCAATGCAAAATGTGTCAATGTGTCAGGCCTTTAAAAGAGAGATGAATTTCATATTTTTTGTGGAATCATTTTTTTTCTCAGAAGTTCAAATGTTGATTTAATGAGTACCTCTTGTTCATGAGTGTACAGCCTCAAGGAAAATTGAAATTTAAAATACTCCCTAACAAAGTCTCTTCAAAAGTTGAATCCTTGAAAACATTTACCAGAATATATACATGTATAGAGGGACAAGAATATTCCTCCACCTCCACCCACCACCACTACATTAAAATAAATCATGTTCATTCTAACCTCTGATAGTGAATTTTTTGAAATGTAGTTGGTATTCGTGTCAGGGTTTGGAATTCATCAGGGTTTGATTTTCTGAAAACTTCAGCAACATAAAAGAGATCTAGAAGAATACTCTGCCCTCCTTCAACACATTCGTCAAACCTGAAACATTATATAATAATAAATTACCAGAAATCACCACTACTGACATACTCAATAATCAATTATACTAAAAAATTCCATGTTTTATTTAATAAAATACATTTATATCGCAAGTGTTAGGAACTTTAAAATTTCACATACTGCAGATTAATTTCAGATTTACAAACTGATTAGTGGTATTTCAAAAGTTACTTGCAGTGAGCTATTTTATTATAACACTTTAATTACTTCATGCAGTGTAGAAGCTGTAAGCCTGGGGCCGACTCGTAGTAGATGAGATCCATGTGGAAGTCGAGGCCCACTGAGGAGTATGCTACATTGATAGGACTGGGCTTACTCACCACGTCAAACTGCTACAAATCAAACGCAGAACAAAAGTGCATTATCTCCCTTGACACAACACTAATCTTTCTAAGAAAATCAGCATTCAGAATATTTGCAAATACCATTTTAATTACATGAATATTTTCATACATTAAAAGCAAAATAAAAGAAACACAGTGACTGTAAAAACATTAATTTTCTTGTGGAGGTCTAATTTTCCCCATTTTTATGGTATCAAGAGACCATTGAATTCATGCCTACCACAAAACGCAAAATTTCAAATCCAAAACAACACCACTCCTTCAATCACAAAATTTAATCTCCATACACAAAGTCTTTTCCTCAAATCACAAAACTTTAACCCCACATCAGTAATTTTTTGGCAATAAAGTAAACAGTTGCAAATCAATAACATCCAAACTTTAATTATATGTACTTAGTCATTCAAAATATATACAGTGTTTCTAGCTTAAGTACCCTCCTATATACATGTACTATTGAAAAATGCTTTTTGGACATTGAGAAAGTTATACATATTATGAAGATTTTAATATTAAATGAGGAAAATAACATGCAAATAAAGTGTTCAATAATTTATCTTGGCCAAATGAAATGCTAAGAATGGTTTGATTGATTATAAATCAAGTAATACTACGTAGATTTCAATTTATTTTAGACTTAACTGACTGCATAAAAATACACATACCCTTTAGAGTGCAGTGTATAGAGGGACCTTAATGTAAGAGTTTTGAAAGTGTGAAAGATATAACCCAGAGGTAATAGTTACATTCAAATGTCAAAAAATGCCTCAATAAATATAGTTTATGCTATACGGCTTGCATTCATGATATGATATGACTGACACCTTTCTTCTAAAAGTTATTACATCTTGCCATGAATACTTTAAATCCAACGTTTCTATTTAAAAATTTGCCATTTTTAATGTTCAATATTTATTTCATCTTAGATTTACATAAAGAAGTGTAAATTAGAATGAAATGATGCTAAGTACAAAAGAAAAGTACTTACAATTCCATAGATTGTTTGTTGCACTGGTGCAATTAATTCTGCTACCTGTAAACAATAATGTTTCCCCCTGAGATCTTAAAGATACACATATGTAATATATAAAATGTACAGATGAAAAATAAATAAAACAAGAAGTCTGTGAGCCAATGCTCACTAATAATACCCCCGCTCTGATGTAAATACACAAGTTCATTTATGGACAGACACAGGGATAAACAGGAAGTTGATATCAGATTCGTACAAAAATAAATTCTGCCAAACGACATGCCTAAACAAAGAGTGTGCTAAACTCTCAAGCATCTGCGATAAGTAGTTGCTAAGAAAACTGCGACCAAAATTTGTGATGTATGGTACGGACAGATGCACGGATAAACATGAAGTTGACATCAGATCTGTACAAAAATGAATCCCACCATATGGCACGCCTAAACAAAGAGTGTGCTAAAATTTCAAGCATCTGCGATGAATAGTTGCTGAAAACTGCAACCAAAATTTGCTATGTAGGCCTATGGTACAGACAGATGCACTGATAAACTGGAAGTTGACATCGTATTCTCACAAAAATGTATCCCACCATATGACATGCCTAAACAAAGAATGTGCTAAACTTTCAAGCATCTGCGATAAGTAATTCCTGGGAAAACTGCGACCAAAATTTGTTATGTATGATAGGGAGAGACACGGATTAACAGGAAGTTGACATCAGATTCGCACAAAAATGAATTCCACCATATGGCATGCCTAAACAAAGAGTGTGCTAAAATTTCATGCATCTGCAATGAGTATTTGCTGAGGAAACTGTGACCAAAATTTGTTATGTATGGTACGGACAGATGCACAGATAAACAGAAAGTTGACATTGGATTCACACAAAAATGAATTCCACCATATGGCATGCCTAAACAAAGAGTGTGCTAAAATTTCAATCATCTGTGATGAGTAGTTGCTGAGAAAACTGCAACGAAAATTTGTTATGGACAGACAGACAGACACACACACAGGGGTGAAACAATAAACCCCCCTCTCCTCCGGAGCATTGGTATAATTATTCAAGCCCCAACTAGGTTGGTGGTGAGCATCCTAATATGGTGAATCCATAAGTTTGTACCCATAGTTCAAAATGAGAGGCTCATAGACCACAACGCTCACCTGAGTCACTCTGGCCCAACTGTTCTTCTTCTGACAGCAGATTTTTAAAACATTTCTTGCTCTCTTTCTTACCATGAAAAATGCTGACCCCTTTTTGTGGCCCCTACCTTGCCTCAAGGGGTATTGGTTTAATTGAACTTGAATCCACACTCAATACGGATGCTATAAATATGACTAACATGACCTTGCTGGAGAAGAATTTTTTACAATTTTTTTTTTGTGTACACATGCTATGAGTAAAATTTGCCTACCCTTACCCTAGAGTCTTTTAGTTTAAAAAAAATGAATCCACACAACTTCAGATTTTAAATTTAGTGTGGCCTTGCTACTCTGTGAAAACATTTGATTCTATAAATTCCATTGAAAAACTCTGATCCCTTACTGTAATCCAACCCTACACCTAAGGGAAATGATTTAAACAAACTTGAATCTACACTATCTGGGGACACCTGCATGTTAAAATACAGTAAAACTCAGTTACATGTATAAGGAAGTCACTAGGACCTTGAATTTTGCTTTATTATAACAGAAATTCTTTATATCTGTATAAGGAATATCATGGTGAAAAATATTCTGAGGGATTCATAAAAAATTCAATTTTACAGAGATTTCCTTATAAGCAAGTTCGTCAAAATCTAGTTTTACTGTAATCATGGCTTTGGTGTTCTTCAGAAGAATTTTTTTTTTACAGATTTGTTCCCATATAATGCACATATAATATGTAAAACTTTGATCCTGTGACCCCACCCTGCCCTCAGGTGGGGTGGGGGGGGGGGGGGGCAGATTTGATCAAACTTACATCTACACTACCTGACAATGTTTGCACAATAATATCACTAATCATGGACTTGGGGAAATGATTTTAAAAGATTTTTCTTAATATACATTCACATGTAAATGTTTGATCTTCTATTGTAGCCTGACTCAATCCAAGTGGGGGTGGGTGGAGGGGCATGATTTGAAGCTACACTATCTGAGGATGTTTCCATATCAATAAGATTAATCACATCCCTGCTGTTCTTCATCAGAAGATTTTTAAATCAAAATTTTTTTTCCAGTTCATATTCCACTGTAAAACTTTGATTCCATATTCTGACCCCACCCTAACAATGTTAGCCATAATATGAACAAAATTCAAATCTATACTACCGCATGTCAGGAAGCCTTCATGTAATTTTAATCTTTTCTGGACCTGTAGTTTTTGAGAAGATTTTTTTTTAGATAATCCAACTCTATTTTTGCGTTTTCTTTGATTATTTCCCCCTTGGACAAGGGCATGGCTCTTAATTAATTTGAATACTTGAATCCTTCACCCAAAGATACTCTGGGCCAAGTTTAGTTGAAATTAACCAAATGATTCTTGAGAAGAACATGATATCATGAAAAGTTTATGAACTAGGTCAATAACGACAGATAACGGACAAATTTCAATCAGAAAACTCACTTAAGCCTTTGGCTCAGGTGAGCCAAAACATCTTCAATTTCATGAGATTAAGCAACAATTTGAAAAATTCAAATCACTTTACCTTGCAAACCATTCCCTCTTCTAATGGTACGTTCTTCAATAAACAGACACCATATTCATTAAGATCTCTCAACCACCTGTAATTAAAAGTAAGCAATTATGTTTTTAATGCATGTACAGTTGAACTTCAAAATGGGACTTTTCAGCTTTGGTATGTTGGCAATTTAATATCATTATGATAGTTCTGTCTTGATTTTTCCAATCTATATTATAAGGGAAATATTATTCAATCTCTTTCAAAGAAATTATTTTAGTAAGGGAGATATCATGCACTTTGTTTGATACCTTAATGTATCTACAATACTCAATGACTGACACTACAACCATGATATTTTGATAGACAATCCAACCATGGATGTACATGGTTTTGACCAGAGACACTTGTGCTTAACCATGTACAATAAGTTTTGGACTGAATGGATATGTGAAAAATAAAGGAGTGGTATTGACTGTACTGTATAACAGTACGTAAATCATTGACAAACAGTCAACACAGAGTCTTTGATCTGCTTACATTTGAAAGAGCATTTATAGTTGAATATGTGTGCTTATTACAATTCAGAATTTAGAGCCATATATTGAAGTTTTCACAGACAGACAGATAGAAGGACAGCAAAAACATTATGCTCCGGACTTAAATCTTTGGGGGCATAAAAAGTGTGTATATAAATACTTCTTCTAAATTTTCTAAGTTAATTTTTTTGATTTTCAAACCATCACAAAGTCTGTGTAGAAACAGCATACAGTAATATCCATCTTGCTCATTAACTTCAGTTTTATTTTCCTCTATTAGTGAACAGCATATAAATTTTAATTTGCAAAACTTTGACAGAAACAATCACAAAGTTTAAAATCAACATGAAGAACATTTAGAAATCCTTACTGAAGAACTCCTTGTTGCCCAGACACGACTTTAGAGAAGTCCAGTGTAGGGTATGATTTTGGCTTGCTAACCATGGAAGAAGGCCTAAAATCATTGGTCAAATCAGAGTAGCCATGCTCTATAAGAAAATCCAGAGGTACTTCTCCCCTGTGTTCATCTGACCACAGTATTCTGAGTTTATCATCACCTAAAAAAAAATGGAACAATGCCACATAAATAAGAATTTAAAATCCTGTAGAAAGATAGACCAATTATATCATAATAATAATAATCTTTGTAACTATAAAGAAGTTTGTTTCTCATGTTTTCAAATTTACCACACAACTTGTACTGTTGTAATTTGTTAAGTCACAACACATCTGCTAGTCAGAATTTGAATTCAATGTATTTGTTATATTATTTATGCAATTAAGCATATTGCAATGCCTTTTCTGGATAAAAGCATTAGAAATATTTTGTTTATCAAACAGTCAAAGTACAACATGCCCTTGGATTGTAGGACCACTTGATCTAAGGTCAAGAGCAGTCCAGATTGTTTAAATAATCAAAAAGTGGGACACTTAAGTGACTTCGTAAGGTTTATAAGTCTTAGATCTAAGAAAGCTGCAATGTATTCTTTCTCTAAATTATGGAATTTGGGATAGATATACAATATGTTTCATTCTGATTTAAGAAGTCAATAAAGATAATAAGAGACCCCTAGCCCACAACACTCACTGATTCACCTTGGCCCTGCTGTTCATCATCAGATAAAGAAAAACTAGAAATAAGTCCATAGGACAGGAATGCCCCGCTGAGGGTATATTAGTAATGCAACATGAAAATTTATATTAGTGTATGAAATTTGATGAGAATATCTTGAATAGTTTCTTTAAAATTGAAATTGAAATCTAAAAAGTTGGATATAGATGATAAATTTTCAAAGTGCATAAGCTTACATAAATATATCTTAAATGGTTTCTTTAAAATTAAGCAAAATGCAAATTTAAGTAAAATGAGGTCAAGGTCCCAGAAAAGTTTAAGGTCAAACGTTTTTGATGCAGTTGAATAGTTCTCAAAAATACGTATCAGCATATTAAGTTTGATAAAAATATTTTGAATGGTTTATTTAAAACTGAGCTAAACACTAATTTAAAATAAATGAAGTTAATGTCAAAGGAAAGGTCAAGGTCAAAAAATGTTGATGCAGTTGAAAAGGTTACATCAGTATGTATTAGCATATAAATTTGATAAAAATATTATGAATGGTTTCTTTAAAACTGAGTTAAACACAAACTGAGAAAAGTGAGGTCAAGGTTAAAGGAAAGGTCAAGGTGAAAAAAATATTAATGCAGTTGAATAGCTCTCATCAGTATGTATCAGCATATGAAGTTTGACACTAATTTAAGAAAAGTGAGGTCAAGGTCAAAGGAAAGGTCAAGGTTAAAATTTTTGATGCAGTTGAAAAGGTTACATCAGTATGTATTAGCATATGAAGTTTGAAAAAAATATTATGAATGGTTTCTTTAAAACTGAACAAAACACTAATTTAAGAAAAGTGAGGTCAAGCTCAAAGGAAAGGTCAAGGTAAAAAAAATATTGATGCAGTTGAATAGCTCTCATCAGTATGTATCAGCATATGAAGTTTGATTAGATTATCTTGAATGGTATCTTTAAAAGTGAGCTAAACACTAATTTAAGAAAAGTGAGGTCAAAGGAAAAGTCAAGGTCAAAAAATGTTGATGCAGTTGCATAGCTTTCATTAATATCTATCAGCATATGAAGTTTGATAAAAATATCTTGGATAGTTTCTTTGAAACTGAGCTTTGAACAGAGCTAAATGCAAAGTGTGACAGAAGGACGGAAGGACAGAAGACGGACAGGACAAACACTATATGCCCCGGCCATATTCATGGCGGGGCATAAAAATATTTTCCCACTTTATTCACATAAAAAAAATCATACCCTATGAATGCCAAATGTATTTAGTTTGGCCCTGCTACTTTTCAAAAGATTTTTTTAAAATCCTTATATATTTCCTTTTCATATATTGATCCCCTAGTGTGGCCCCTCCCTACTCAAAGGGGGCCATAATTTGAACAAATGCTTGCATAATCACGGCCCTTATATATTCCCTGTAAAACTTTGATCCCCTATTGTGGCTTAAATGTAAATTAATACTAGAGGGCTATTCAACTGTGTCACAATTTTCTGACTTTAACCTTCCTTGTGACCTTGACCTCATTATTCCCCATTTTCCATAATCTTAAACAAAGAAGCAAGGTACATTTCTTTACACGTTGCATTACAATGAACCCTGGGTGGGGCATTCATGTCCTATGGGCATGTTTCTAGTTTCCTATATACATGTATTCCAATGTAAAGTCTATTCTGGCCCAGTGGTTTTTGAGATAAATCTGTTTAAAAGATGCCACCAAAGTTAATTCTTAACTATCTCCCCTCGAAAGAGGATGTGGCCCTTCATGTGAACAAACTCGAATCCTCTTCATCCAAGAACGCTTTGTGGCAAGTTTGTCTAAAACTGTCCTGGTGGTTTCAGAGAAGTTGAAAATGTGAACAGTTTATAGACAACACATGACAGATGGACAGAAACCAGACACTAAGATCAGAAAAGCTCATTTGAACCATTTGCTCAGGTGAACTAAAAGATTAGCAATCTAGAATTAAATAAAGGATTATCCTCCATTTGTTTTAAAGAATGCAAACTCCATTTTGAGATTCAATGCAAAGATTGCCAAGTACATGTATTAAAATCAATATCAATCAATATTGATTACAACTGATCAAAACACACACTAAATATTGCAGAAATGCTAAGTGCTAAGTTCGCAGTTGATCACCTGAATCTGTGACTTTTTTGACCGTTGTGTCATATCTTATTTGACCTACGTCTATGAGCTTCTGGCCTGAGTGGTCCTGCTTACATTCCGAACAATGACAGTTGTTTCTCAACCAAATGCTATGGAACCTGAAATATTCACTCAAAAATTTGTATATAATAATTATTATACAATTAATCTATACAAGTATTACCCAAATGTAATTAAACTTTGAAATTTAATCTTGTGTATTGATGTGAATAAAATGAAAAAAAAAATCTTGGAAGTAAAAGTTTTTTTATTGTCCCAATTTCATTTTCATATGTATTTGAAACAAAGCATTTATCTTTCTTGCACAAACAAGAAAATCAAGGCAATTAAATCACAGTTTACTGGCTTTGTTATTGGGTAAATTGCTGTTACATTACACTTACATTGATTCTGTACCATTTTTCCATGTAATCTTCACCTTTTGACCTACTTCTTCAGCTAAAACTTTTATTTCTTTATTCTGGAAAAATGGTAACCATATGTATGTGTATTATAATCATGCAAACAGTTTGACTGCTATATGTCAAGGAGTAAAAACGATTTTTGTAAATTGCATTAATTTTGATGCTTTTGGCATCACCCTTAGGGCCCCAGGGATCAAGAGAGAGACCATGAAATTGATAGATTTTGCTCCCCTTCAACCAAAGATGATATAGGAATGAAGCTTTGTCGCCAGAGATCACTCTAAGTTAATAAAACTGAGATATGTTTCCTTTATAAAACTTTCATCTTCAATAATAATCTTTCTTCCTGCATGATATACCAATTTTCTCCTTGCATTGTATACTAAATTTCTCCCTGCATGGTACATGTACATGTATATACTAAATTTCTCCTTGCATTGTATACTAAATTTCTCCCTGCATGATATACTAAACTTCTCCCTGCATGGAATACTAAATTTCTCCTTGCATGGAATACTAAATTCCCCCCTTCATGGTACATGTATACTAAATTTCTCCTTGCATTGTATGCTTAATTTCTCCCTGCATGGTATACTAAATTTCTCCCTGCACGGTATACTACATTTCTCCCTGTATGGTATACTTATGGTAATTCTTCCCTGCATGGTATACTAAATTTCTCCTTGCATTGTATATTGAATTTCTCCCTGCATAGTATTAATACAACATTTCTCCCTGCATGGTGTACTTAATTTCCCCAAGCAGGGTATACTAAACTCCTCCCTTCATAGTTTACTAAAGAGGTATAGTGCACTTAGTATACCAAATGGCCTACAGTATAGCGAAATTGCAAACATCCAAAATATTTCAATATTTTATGATATTACATAAATCTAGCTATAAGCAAATACAAATTATACCAGTACTTGGCAAAAATACTCAAAATTATCAAAATTATCTCAGACAAGAGCAATGAAATTTACAGATTTTGCATGGGATATATGGAGAACTATTGAGTGAGCATTGAAAAAATACAGATTTGTGTATTTGAACCAACTTAAGCCATACAAATTTTGAATGGGTTACGTTCTTTTGATATCACAGTATACTGTTATATCAAAATCTTTTTGGTTTAACTTGGTCTTCATATCAAAAACTGTCTATATACTTCAGTTATCCTATTTTCCGAAAGACTCTTACACAGGGCTATATATATACACAAAAGACACAGAAGTTTTCAATAGCGTGCGTAGCCTAATGGTGTATGCTGAACTGTTTTCGTGCTTGAGGTCTCTGGTTCAAGCCTCCCAAGTTCCGGATTTTTTTTTTAAGTAATCATAGTATATGTTTAATCATTTTTTTTTTTACTTTAGCTAGTTAATTTTTAATTAAAGTCGTATCTTGCACATAATATACACATCAGTAATAAACATAGCATGTTTCTAAATTCCTCCCTTCATGGTATACTAAATTTCTCTTTTCATGTTATACATACTAAATTTGCATGAATAAGATTTTTATCTTCTTTTTCTCTCATAAAATCATCATGATACAACATACTGTCATTTTACCTTGAAATCTGTACAAATATCACAAAAGAAATCTTTACCTTTTCAGAGGAAACAGAGTTTGAACAATACACTCTGAAACAAACTGCTGGTAACATCTGTCCTAAGTCAAAATACAGAAGAATGATTCAAAAATACATATATGTATAGTACAAAATATTTGATTACTACTGCCTCCCCCCCCCCCCCTTTCAAAGAGAAAAGAGAGCAAACTACATTGACAAATAGACAGACAGACTGCTACACAGAAAGCCAGACAACTAGACAAGACAGCTACACAGACAAACAGCTATACAGACACACAGCTAGATAGGCAGACTGCTACACAGAAAGCCAGACAACTAGACAGACAGCTACATAGACAAATAGCTATACAGACACAAAGCTAGACAGACAGACAGCAACACAGAAAGGCAAACAGCTACATAGACAAATAGCTAGACACACAGAGAGCTTTACACACACAAAAAAAAAACAACATAAAACAGCTTATCAGACATTTAGTAAGGTAGATAAACTGAGAAACAGACAGACAGACAGACAGACAGCTAGACTGACAAACAGCTAGACAGAGAGAAAATACATGTAAATGACATCTTTATATTTCAAACTAACTGCTAAAAACACAAACTCAAATTTGGATATAATTTGGTATAAAAGTTTTAAATTTTTCTGTCTGCATATCAAATAAGTAAGAAAATGGTTGCATGTGAAACACTCTATACAGAAAGAAAAATAGCTATACTAAAAACACAGCTACATGTAATTAGACTCACAAATAGCTGGAAACACAAACTCAAATTTAAAGATAGATGATACAAATAAACTCAAATTTAAGGATAGATGATACAAATAAACTTTCTTCAAAAACCATGAAAAATAATAACTATAGTCATGTTTATATTTATTTAGTAAAATGGATGTTTAGCCAAACAGATTTTAATTTTTCATTCAAAGTTTAACAAGAATGTCTTATTAAGTGATACAAAGTTGTGTAAATTTATAAGGATTGTTGCAAAAGGTAGAATTTTGAACATCATAGATCCATTTTTTGTTTGTATCATCTGTCCTTAAGCTAGATGAATTAATTTGTAATTATACTTCAAACCAGTGCCTAATAACTACCCAATAAATACAAACTTCCATGCAGCCACGGAATTGTTTTAATAAATGGCCTGCCTTCTTATGATAGTGAAAAGTTGGTTCTTTGTTACTTTGTACTGACCATTGCTGAAATGTATTCCTGATTGCTGTGGGCCTGTACATGGTAGAGCTGGTCTCTGTAGATGTTGTCTAGTCAGAGTTATTGCCCCTCTACAGGACGGCCACAGCCTTATTAGACTATGTCTAACACTCATTCTGTTAATAGATGTCACCAGTAAAATTGGTCCATTCTTCTTTATACACTTATTGATAAATAAGCCTAAATAGTTACTGGAAAGAGTTCTTACTTTTATATAGCTGCACTAATGTAACTTTCCAAATTACACATCATTTCTTTTAAAAGAAATCAAAATGCTTTAGCCTTGACTAAAGGGATTGAACCCAAACAAAATGAGATCAAGGGCCACAACACTCACCTTTGTCACTTCAAAAGATTGTTTTGTTTCAAAAGGTTTTCCTATCAATATTCCCATGACCCCATCCTATAGCCCCACTCTAGTCCCAAAGGATCATAACTTAACCATTCTCAGGACTCTCATTCTCATCAATATAATTTACATGGCCTTGTTGTTGTGGTGAAGATTTTAAAGATTTTTCAGATTTTTCCTTTCTTACATACATAAAGAAAAACTTTGATCCCCTATTTTAACTCCACCCTAATGCCTTTTACAGCCTAACCCCCAATGTTCATAAATTGAACAAACTTGAATCCACATGACATGGGAATGTTTGAGAATAATCTTTTTAATAGGCCCAGGCCTCTTCTTCTCTTTGTTCCTTGGGAATGTTAGGTCAGGTGCCAATACTTGCATCTCATGAGTCCAGTTTGATAAAAAAAAAAATTGTTTTGCTGTTGTTGTGTGTGTTTTTTGGTGTTTTTTTTTTTTTTTGGGGGGGGGGGGGGGGGGGTCGAGGGTTTGGGTTTTTTTTCATTTCCTTGGTGGAATTGGTTTGGTTTTTTTTGTGTTTCTCTAATGTTGGTGAGTATGAGTAGGATACATTGCAGAGCATAAAAATTTTCTTTTACAGTTTCTTAATGGTTTGGATACTTTTGGTCTAATTTGACTCTTCAAGAACCGTTAACAATACAAGTAACAGAAAGCCAAACTATGTACTCCTCCATCATTGTTGATGCAGAATATCACAGAATGCAATGTTAATAAAGGTACTAAAGTTTAGTAAATCTTTATAATTAAATTTAGTGGTTTAAAGTTTACTTAGTAATACCAGTGACTTTTCCTTAATCACAAATAAATCCAGTTATGAAGAATTACTTAAGATTAACAGAAGCTACAACTAACATACATGCATTACATACCTTCTACATGAACCTGTTATCTCCTTCCTTGTCTAGACGTCTGAGTTGGTGTCATCTACAGAAGGATGTGCTGAATGTGAACAGGAACATTCTTCTTATATCTAAAACAAGTTATCCACAGGTCTGAGTTCAAAGTCCACATCAATATATCTATCAACAATAGATTTAACACAGGTATGTTGCAATTAAAATCATACTTATGTTACCAAACAAAGATTACAAAACATGTATATGACAACAGCAAGACAGAGATTATTTGTTTGTTCATACACTTAGCACTCACTGAAGGTCACTGGCGTCAATGCTTTGAGTGCATATATGTCAAGTCTACAAAATGAAATTTCATGCCTAAAAACCTAAAACATATGGCTGCAATCTGTCAAATTCATGAAGAATACATTTAAGTTCTCTTTATAGTCATTCTTTTACTAAATGTGTATAGATATACTGGTATCTATAATAGTTAAAAAGTATTCAAGCATTCTCAGGTAGTCTAGTTGAATAAAAATGACAATGAAGATCAAGAAGCATACAAAACTAAATATAAACTTAAAAATATAAATAAAAAGGTCAATAACAGGCACTATGAGTTTACTTATCACTTTTGAAAAGGAAGGAGGAGGCAGTCAAAAAAAATTGACAACTTACATGTACCTGAAGAAACTTTGAGAAGCAAAAAAAAAAAAAAAAAAAGAAGGAAAATTGTCCAAACTCAAAAATCCTATTTCAAAAGGAGGGGGGGGGGGGGGGGGGGGTGCACCCACCAACTTCTTTCACAACCAAATTTTTTTTTCATACAGTACCACATTACCCTGATTTGACCATACTAAAACAAACCAGAAGTCTCTAATGAGACTGTAGCTCCACTGGTATGTACTTATAATGAAGGAAGATAAAAGTAGCACTTGGACTTGAAACTTTGCAACAGCAATAAATAGAAATCAATAATGATCCTAGGTTTAGTCTCTTTTTGTGGCAAGATTTATTGCAATCAGACTAAAACTGTGTCCTAGGAAGAGTAGCCATTTGAAAGAATTTTACAGAAATTTCGATTTTAGTAATCATGGCAACATCATTCAACAAAATCAAAAAACAATAAAGACAATTATGTATTTTAGTGTAGTCTACTTGTGTGCCAAGTTATACTGAAATCTGACCAAAACTGTAGGAGGAGTAACATTTTGAAAGTATCTCAAGGAAATTTCTATTTTTAGTAACCATGGCTACTCCATTCATCGAAATCTAAAAAAAAAAACGATGTACAGAATTATGTATCTTAGTGTAGTCTACTAGTGTGCTAAGTTATACTGAAATCACACTAAAACTGTAGGAAGAGTAGCATTTTGAAAGTATTACAGAGAAATTTCTAATTTTAGTAACCATGGCAACACCGTTCATTTAAATTAAAAACTGATATAGGGAATTATGTATCTTAGTGTAGTCTACTTATATGCCAAGTTTTATTGAAATCAGACCAAAACTATAGGAGGAATAGCGTTTTGAAAGTTTTTCAAGGAAATTTTCATTTTTAGTAACCATGGCAACACCGTTCATCGAAATCAGACAGAATTATGTATCTTTGTGTATTCTACTTGTGTGCCAAGTTTTATTGAAATCAGACCAAAACTGTAGGAGGAGTAGCGTTTTGAAAGTATTACAGAGAAATTTCTATTGTTAGTAACCATGGCAACACCGTTCTTCGAAATTAAAAACCGATATAAAGAATTACGTATCTTAGTGTAGTCTACTTATATGCCAAGTTTTATTGAAATCAGATCAAAACTGTAGGAGGAGTAGCGTTATGAAAGTTTTTCAAGGAAATTACTATTGTTATAGTAACCATGGCAACACCGTTCATCGAAATCAAAAATTGATATACAGAATTATGTATCTTTGTGTAGTCTACAGACAGACAGCTAGACAGACGGACGGACGACGGACACATTTAAATCGCATAAGCTCTTCTGGTCTCTGACAAGTAGAGCTTAAAATTGGGGGGGGGGGGGGATTTGGCAACCAGCCTTTCAATGAACATTCAACAGTAAAAAGTTGTGTTTTGAAAAAAAAGTGGAGCCCCCCCCCCCTCCCTCCACTATGTGCCTGAATAAAATAATTTTTGTATCAGGGATCATAATATTAAATATTTGAAAATTAAAATGCTAGTATTCTTCTACAGAGTACAATTCAAGATTGAAGGTAATTAAAAAATGGTCACTTTAATCGAAACAAAAAACAAAGGTCACTTAGGTTAACATGATACCAAATAAATGATGATGACGTTCAACAACCCCCCCCCCCCCCTTTTTCAAGTCTCACACCAAGTGCTTGCATTTTCATCGAAACGTAACAGTTTAGCAGGCCTAATCCGCAACAAAATAAATGCTAGAAAAATTTTTTACTATAAAAAAAATCACAGTTTGCAAGTGTTTAAAAAAATTGCCCTGGACTAGAGGAAGATAAACTTCAACTTGTAACTTACTTTAAAAAATCCTCAAAACGTCTGGGGGTCCTGGGTCCGCTTGTAGACTTAAATGTCTATGAGCGGACTCAGGACCCCTGACGTTCACAAGCGGACTCATGATCCTGAGAGATTCCAAATAAACATAGTACATACCCCTAGCTCAGTCATTTGTCATCTGTGGCATGCGGCTTTGCTTGACTTTAGTATACCGGATATTATTAAATGCCTAGAAAAGTATAATCTAAGATGTAACCTGTACAACCACTAAATTTCCGGATTTTTGCAGTTATCCAAATCGCGTTTCAAGGAGCGACAATAGGCGCACTCTGCAGACTGATTCAGTTACTTAAAATAAGAATATATTTTATATATCGATAATAATAAAATACAAAGAGAAGAAAAAAAGGGTTTTGACTTTTCGAAGATTTTTTTTTCTCTTTCACCGTATTTCCTCAACATGCGCGGATCTAAGGGGGGGGGGGGGGGGGTCGGGGGACTCCCCCCCTTGGAATTTGCAGAGTTATTCAAAGTCTATACTGAAGCAAATAAAAAATGACTTTAAACCCCCCCCCCCGAAAATGTGGACCCCACCATCACACCATGAAATAGGTGTTTTTCATGTTTGGGAAATGGATTTTAGGTGGGGTTTTTGTTGTTGTTGTTGTTTTTTTTTTTTTTGTTTTTTTTTTTTTTTTGTTTTTTTTTTTTGTTTTTGTTTTTTGTTTTCTTTTTGTTTTTGTTTTTGTTTTTTTTTTTTTGGTTGTTGTTTTTTTTTTTTTTTTTGCCTGTCAAGAAATTTTCTGGGTTTGATACGTTTGGAAAGGGAATTTAGTTGTTGTTTTTTTTTTTTTTGGGGGGGGGGGGTTGTTTTGTTTTTGTTTTTTGTTTGTTTGCATGTCGAGAAATTTTTGGGTTGGATTTTTTTTTTTGACTCGCCCCCCCCCCCCGGAGAAAATTCCTGGATCCGCGCCTGCTCAACATTCAGAGAACTGATCAATTAAATTAATCCGTTAACTATTCTTCAAGGTGTAATATGGTAACACATTGATGTATTATAGCGTTAGAATTTAATATGGAAGAATGTGAGAAATTTGACTGTTAAAAATCATCCACCGAGACATATGCGATATGATTATCGGGCTTAAAGTTAACATTAAATATCATTAAAAGAAATTAAAGTTCAAAGATCATGCACTGTCCAAGAGGGATACATCCTTGTATTTCATAAATGAACGTTATGTTAACTTTCTATATCTCTATATTGTTTGTTTTTTATGACCTTGGCAAAATAAGATCAACTTTAGAATAAAAGGTAATGGATATCATCGTAAACTAGTTTTTGGGGTTACGAATTCCCCAGAGGTAAAGGGAAAGCAGAAAAGAAAACTTCTAAAAATTCGATCCTAAGAAAAAAAAAAGCAAGCAGATTTCAAAATATCTAATTTGGATGTGACGGAAACTTTATATAGAATTTGAATGCTTTAAAATTCAAAATACCTATTTGAAGAAAAAAAAATACTTAATTTCAGGAATTAGCACTAAAAATGAAAGAAAATTATCATTTAAAAATTATACTAAAGAGTGCATAAATAAATAATTACATAGATTTATAAATGTTGTTAAAAATAATACATGTCCTTGGTTTGAGATCATAAAGAGAAGGGGGAGTGTGATTAGATGTAATTATTTAATGTACCAAGCAGTTCTTTAGAAAGATATTGCCTGAAAAATTATCTTTATCTCAATAAAAATGCTTATTGTTTTTCATGTTTTCATTCATATGATGTCTTGGCGCGAAAATAGTCGGTGCTTATTTGCATGTTACCATATATGATTTTATCCAGTCCATATTTGGCCGTGGACGCCATATATGGGAACCCCACATTGCCATACAAGGAACTCGTATTTTCTCAAAATTTGGTTAATATTAATTCGCGAAATGAAATTAAATATACCGACCTAAGCAATCCATTTATTAAGATATCTAGCAAAAAAGTAAGTATTTCAAAGTCATCTCTGAGGATTTACACGTGTCTGACACATCCGAAGACGATAAATGATATGACCTAGATTTCTACGCGCATTGATATACTCGCAGTGATTCGCCCGGTATTCCGTTTATGGCGAGTAGCAAATTAGGTACAGTCAGTTCATTCTTCCATTCATGAACAGTTGATAGTAAAGGTTGTAACGGGACGTATTTTACTGAAAGCAATGAATGGTACACATTTGAACCAGCCGGCTTTTCCCACTGCCCCTGGGGGAGCGGTACCCGCGTTTACAATGGAAAATGTCGATCCTTCGACTTTGGAAGAGGATTCGGACTCCGAAGGGGAAATATCTGTGGCAACTAATCCCCAAGGGCTCAAGCCGGGGAAAAAGACGAAGGGAAGAGTCAAAATTAAAATGGAATTTATTGAAAATAAATTGAGGCGATATACAACTTTCAGCAAACGCAAAACAGGAATTATGAAAAAGGTTAGAACTTTTTCTATTTAGACCATTTATAGTTGCAAAGTTTTCAAATTATTTTGTTATTTATCATGTTTATAGTACTTTTAAAAAATGATTACTGTTTTCAATAGGCTTATGAACTGTCAACTCTTACTGGTACTCAAGTAATGCTTCTAGTGGCAAGTGAAACTGGGCATGTCTATACATTTGCTACAAGAAAATTGCAACCTATGATAACAAGTGACAGTGGAAAAGCACTCATTCAAACATGCCTCAATTCTCCGGATCCCCCACCTGGCTCTCAGCCCCAGATGACAATGGACCAAAGAATGAATCCAACAGGCTTTGAGGAAACAGAATTGTCTTATGCAGTTGGCGAAGAAGAGCACACAAAAGTTAGTAAGATTTTAAAATTTCTCTAGAAAAATACAGAAAGTATGGAACTGGTCAAGTTCTTTACCTATTGCCTCACTAAAACATTGAATCTAACCTTTTAAAAAAAATTATAACATTTTTATTTATTAATTGTTTGGGGAAAAACTTAAAAACTTTCCCAAGTTTCCTTCAAGAAGACAATGAATTGTCAAGAAGAGTGAATAGAAACTGCACTAGAATAATGCACTGCATTCATCCAAAAAAAAAAAAAAAAATTCTGAAGTCACTTGTACACTTAACTCTCCAAATGCTGTGTTTACCATCTGTTGCAAATCAAGAGCTGGAGAATACCATAAATATCAGCTGTGTGTTTCTCTCAGCGGGAGCTTCTGTGCCATTTCTTGCCACTAATAGTGTGATAAGACCAAGGCAAATTACTTCTTTGTTTGTTTCTTGTTTATTGTTAACAATGATAGAGTTGTCCTGATTAGCACAGGAGGGGATCAGGGAGATATTAGGGGTGGGAGTGTTTGTGTTTATTCTTATTGACAGGAAATGTCTATCTGGAAATTTTCTGTTAAGGGAGTTGGGAAATGGACATGTCAAATATGGAGTCAAAAATGAAACATAAGTCATATAAAGGATGATTTTATAATATATGTAAATTAAGAAAATTAGATGCACAAGCAGCATATAGTGCATTCTTTCATTTTTTTTTTCTTTTAAATGTTTAGAATTTTTGGAAAGCCAGAATTATTTTCACTTTTCACAAATTTATAAATGTTTCAAACATGTTGGGAAATAAATATTAGCTGTAGCTTAAAATTAGCTTATTTACATAGTAATGAAAAAAAATTATCATGTGCTCTTGTATATGCATTTATTAAATGTAAGTGGAATAAAGTTCCCTGGATGTCCAAAGTGATCCATAAAACCCTTCTGTAATTTGCCTTTGCCTCAAAATCCATTCCCAGAACTTTCAGTATGAGGTACAAAGCCAAATTCGGCAGCAGGGATCCCCATATCCTGTGTAACCGGAGAAGCCCTGTATCAAGAAGCTAATTGGAAACCTTCCATGTAGGCAGAGATAAAACAGCTCCTTTCCTCACATATGTCAAAATTGTTTGTTTTATATCAAATAGGCTTCTGTAGCTACTGCTGAGAAAGTCTAAGAGGAATAGTCATGTAATCTTACTTGGGAATGGGCGGATCAGGAGCAGTTATGGAGAATTATGTCATGCTCCCATCTGTAGATTGCAGAATCTGATTTCCTCAAAGCTTATGGGTGATTAAAGTGGCACCTTTGTAAAGTAATGAAGGAGCTGCAATAAAGAACAAAGTTTCTTTGGCTTTCTTTAAATATTTTTTTTGCTTCTAAATAAAAACAAAATACAATATTAGTTAAAATATGATTACGATTTATGTAGGATAAAATCTACAAGTTATTTAAAGCATTATTCAAGTTATTTGAAGCTCTGAAGCCTTTTTAATTCATTGTTCCTAATTTTAAGGTAGAAAATTGAAAATGAGTGGGTTTTTTTTTTTTTTTTTTTAATTTGGAGGATATTATTTAGAGCAAGAAAACTTGTTATTCAAGATGAAACACATCATTTATGTCAGTGATTTGAAGTTTTCATATTATATTTCATCAACAAATCAATCATTTAAACCATAAGGGTTTAGGCAACAAATAATGTTTCCATGTATATAATAATCTGATTAAGAAGAGCAGGTTTTCAGGGGCAAGTGTGCAGTTAGTGTCAATGTGGTTCAGTTGTTATGTGTGATGGATATATTGTGGTGGAGAGATATTGCCCCTCCAGGATCAGGCAAACACTTCTCCCACAAGTTAAAAGGAATGAATTTATCACCATGGCAATATTTATTCTTGTAATGTATGAATGTTGTGTGTATAAGAGTGAATTCTTACTAGCACTGCAAGCACATGCTACAAATATGTCTTAGAGAGGCAGCATGCCAAATTTGCTCCACAGTGTTGTGATTTCTGGAATAGAAATGTGTTGAATAAGGAATTTTTATGAAATATGCTTAATTAATGTATTGCCAGCAGATTTTAGGAGATGTAAATGAATACAAAATATTTACTAGCCACTCTTTTTAACCAATATTGATCAATTATCTGATGTGATATTTAACAGTATTACTTTTTTTCAACAGAACTTACTCTTTTACTAAATCTGCATTTTTTAAAAAAAAAAAAAAAAAAGAAAGAAATTAAACATAATTATATTAATCTTTAATTTAAAAGGAAATTTAAAATAATTTCATTTTTTTTTTTCAAAAATATTGAACTTTAAAGTGAAGTTCACTTTAAACAAAAAATCATAGAAAAGAGGAATCTTTTTCCAAAAAAGATTTACATAGATATAAAACACAGAAAATAAATTTTCTGAAATTTGAAAGAAAAGAAGAAGCAAATAATTGATAATTGATAATTGAAAATATCATAGTACTAAATAATCATAATATCTTTCTTTTGATGCTCTTTGAATTGTAAAATTAAAATCATTGAAGTTAAAAGTGATTTCTGAAGCATTACATTGACACTAGTAGTCATAAGTGACAATCTAATTATCAAGCTACACACAGAATGCATATGGTGTGGAGCTGTTGCGACACACCAAGAACAGACACTTCACAAGTTAAGGAACATGTCTATCTCCATGGCAATGATTTTCCCTGGAATTTCAGTTGTAATATATAGATGCTATGTATGAGGGAGTGATTTTTATCACTGCAAGCACATGCTGCAAATATGTCTTAGAGAGGCAACATGCCAAATTTGCTCCAGCACTGTGACTTCTGAAATAGAAATGAGTTGAATAAGGAATTTGTATATTATTATGCTATTTTCCTGATGGGGAGGGGGATGCAATATGCCCCATTATTTGGATTCCATTTTTATGGCATTATATACCTTGAACTTACCGGTACCTCTCTTTAGTATTGATGTCAAAAAGCTTTCAATATTTGGCATTTTTTATTTCTTGAGGGTGGGTTTTTTATTATTGAGTCAAAGTACCGGGTAGTTTAATTGCCCTATCTTCCTTATCCCAAGCAGTAAAATACACAACACCATGAACATCTGGTTTTTATATTTTTTGGAAGCCTTTTACCCCACCCTACCCCCTTTAGACATAGACAAGAAATTTTTTGCAGCCATGATATTGTATAATGGGGATATGTATTTATCAACCATCTAGTTAGCTCACCGTGCCAAAGGCTCAAGTGAGCTTTTCTGATCAAAGGGTGTTCAGCATCCGTGTTTTGTCTGTAAACTTTTCACATTTTCAACTCCTTCTCAGGAACCACTGGGCCAATTTCAACCAAACTTGCCACAAGGCATCCTTTGGGGAAGGGGATTTAAGTTTGTTCACAGGAAATGCAACATCCTCTTTCAAGGGGAGATAAAATAAGAATTCCTGAAAATTTAGAGGTATCTTTTAAAAATCTTCTCAAGAGCTACTGGGCCAGGAAAGATGAAACTTGTGTGAAAGCTTCATTACATACTGTTGTCACTTCTCAAGAACAGCAAAGCCATGATTAATCATATATAATATAGGAATAATCAAAGAAAAATTTTTAAAATTCCTCTTATCATGAACAGCAATGTCATGATTAATCATATTTGTATGAAAGCATCCTCAGGAAGTGTAGGTTGAAGTTCGCTCAAAACATGACCCTTGGGTATAGGGTGGGGCAGAAATGGGGGATCAAAGTTTATAGTTTATAGTTGGAGTCTTTAAAAATCTTCTTCTGAACAACAGCAAAGCCATGATTAGTCATATTGATATGAAGCATCCTCAGGTAGTATAGATTCAAGATTGTTTAAGTCATGGCACCTGGGGATAGAGTGCAGCCACAATGGGGATCAAACTTTAACAGAGGAATATACATGCTGTATGGTTTAATAATTTTCTTCTCAAGAACAGTAAAGCCATGATTATTTGTATTGATATGGAGGCATCCTCAAGTAAGTTAAGACTCAATTTTCCAAATCATGACCCTCAGGAGTAGAATGGGACCACAATAGGGGATCTCAGTTTTACAGAGGAACATATGGGAAAAAATCTTAAAAATCTTCTCAAGTACAGCAATGCCATGATTAGTCGTGTTGATATGGAAGCATCCTCAGGCAGTGATTCAAGTTTGGTCAAATCATGACCCCTGAAGATAAGTTGGGTGACAAGTTTTTCATAGGAATATATAATAGAAAAGAATTACCTAAAGAAGAACCGCAGGAGCATATTGACTTATTTAAGTGTTGTGGCCCATGGGCCTCTTATTTCCCCAAACCTTGAAAATTTGTCCCAATGGAAATATGTGATTTTACAGTAAATTCTAAATTGTTTTAATCATGTCCCCAGGGTAGTGTGAGGTCACAGTAGGGATTGAAATTTAACCTAGGAATATATAGGAAGATATTTTTATTAATATTCTCAAAAAAGACATGGCTAGAAAAGATGAGTCTTGCATAAAAGCTTCCTGTCATTAATTTAAATTCTAAATTGTTCAGTTCATGGTACCCAGGGGTTAGGCCACAATAGCGGATTATTTTTTATTACTGGATAATTACAGCCCTAATAGAAATGCTTTTCTTCATGTATATAAATTCAAACTAGCATTGCAAACATTAAATTCTTTATCATATGTAATTGGGTGTTTTACAGGTGGAGAGTGGAATAAAGCCTATGTTTATGCCAGTATCAATCCCAGAGCCAGGAATGATCAATCGAAATTCCCCAGACAACACGAGTGGTACCTCCTCCCCACTGCAGCAGACCACCCCTAGCAGTCAGACCACTTCACAGTCCCCTCCTACATCTGCTGCCTCCAAAAATCTGGCTGGAAACGTTAATCTAACCATCCCAGGTCTACCTCCAGGGGCAGTGCTAGTCCCACAAGGTAGATAACTGCTTCATCATCCACATAATTCAGCAAACATAAATAAAAGATTTCTTTAGTAAATTAATTAATAAAAATAAGAGCCAATATTGCACTAGTGGATTCAGAATAATAATTAAGATGTTTTATTTTTCATTTGAGGAGCACCACTGATACCCATTCAGCAGAATGGTCAGCCAGTGCCCCAGACCTCCCAGGCTCAGACACTCTATAGACTCCCCAACTCCAATCAGATTGTAGCTTTCTCAGGTACATGATCTCATTGTTACAATTTCATCTGTAAGTATTGTTCAGCTAATGTTGATTGTATTTTCTAGTTGAATTTGAATTTGTCCTTGGCCTGACCATGAAAAAGTTTCTGACTTCTAATTAATCAAAAAATTCCTTTTAAAAAACAAACATCAGGATTTTATAATACATGTAATGAAATAAGGTATATACAGTAAATGTCATGTAAATTTATTTTCTCAAGAAGATTTATTATCAGAACACTTTTTAGCTCACCTGAGCCAAAGGCTAATAAAAGTGAGCTTTTCTGATCAAATTTTGTTCTGGTCTGTAGTCGTCATTGGCATTGTTGTCGTAAACTTTTCACATTTTCATCTTTTTCTCCAGAACCAAGGGGCCAATTTCAACCAAATCTGGCAAAGAGTATCCTTGGGTAAAGGGAATTCAAGTTTGTTCAAATGAAGGGCCAAAACCTATTCCAAGGGGAGATGATTTAGAAATAGTGAAAATTGGTGGGGTAATTTTAAAATCTTCTCAAGAACCACTGGGCCAGAAAAATGAAACTTATGTGAAAGCTTTCAGGGGTAGTGTAGATTCAAGTTTGTTCAAATCATGACCCTTGTTGGTAGGGTAGGGCCACCATGGGCGATCAAAGTTTTTCTTAGAAATACATAGGAAAAATCTTGAAAATTCTTTTTCTCAAGAAGAACAATCATGATTAGTCATATTTATATGGAAGCATCGGATCCTCAGATAGTGTAGATTCAGTTTTGTTCAAATCATGACCCCTGGGGTAGGGTGGGGCCACTATTGGGGATCAAAGTTTTATGTTGGAATACATCAGAGAAATCTTTGAAATTCTTTTATTTCGAACAGCAATGTCATGTAAGCGTCCTCAGGTAATGTAGATTCAAGTTTGTTCAAATCATGACCCCTTGGGGTAGAGTGGGGTCATGATGGGCAGTCAAATTTTAAATAGGAATATATATGAAAAAAAATCTAAGGAACAGCAAAGTCATGATAAGTCGGATTGATATGGTAGCATCATCAGATTCCAGTTTGTTCAAATCATGACACCTGGAGATAGGGGGGACCACAATATATTATCTTAATTTAATTAGGAATATATAGGGAAAAAATCTGATGAAGAACAGAAGGGCCATAGTTATTCAGGTGAGCTTTGTGGCCCATGAGCCTGTTGTATGCATATTTTACATAGGCTAATGAATGAAATTACTTCTAGGACTGAATTATATTATCTTAATTTAAAGACATTCACAGATCATGAACACATTGTTAGAATGCACAGGTAGATTTATAGAAGAATGCACAGGTAGATTAAATAAATTTACCTTTGCATTCTCACGATGTATTGGTTTGATTTGTTTATGTCTATAAATCTATAACTTAAGATCTAGACACTATTCACTCAAGCTCAATAAAATGGTGCAAATGATGTCGCTGGGGGTTAAGCTAAAAAAAATAATGAAATGTCAAAGAAAATACTTTTTGAATGAATGCATGAATATGTTACCTTTAAAGGTGCTTAGACACAGATTTGAAGTTAATATTTTCTCAATTTTTCTGTATAATATCACGACTTATATATTGCAATAGCATTTCACACGAAAATATAATTAAAAACTTATTTTATCTAGAAATTATTGGAACTACGAATTCCTAGACGCGTTTGATTAACACATCATTGCACTTTCACAAATTTTATCTTTATCCTTAATATTTAAGAAAAGAAGCGATTTTGTTGTGTATTGATGAAAAACATTACATCTATAATTAAGAAAATTCAGAGTAGAAATGTGCGAAAGCAAACCCTCTCACTAATATCGTCAGCCCATGCTCAGTGTTGTGTACAGAGTTTAACAAATTGAATACACCCGTGAAACGTAAACTGTTTTTGTAAACAGGGCACGAGCACTGTTATTGTTAATGTTTACGATTCACTGGGTGTGTTCAATTGTTAAAGTCTGCACACACCACTGAGCACGGACTGACAATACTGTGAGTGGGTTTTGCTTTCGAACATTTCTACTCTGAATTTTCTGGATTATAGTTTTAATATTTTTCATTAATACACAACAAAATTGCCACTTTTCTTAAGTATTAAGAATAAAATTAAAATTTGTGAAAGTGCAAGGATGTGTCAATCAAACGCGTCCAGAAATTTGAAGTTTCAATAACTTCGAGATGAAATAAGATTTTTATTTTATTTTAGTATGAAATGCTATAGCCACATATAAGTCATGAAATTATATAGAAAATTTGAGAAAATATTAACTTCAAATCTGTGTCCAAGCACCTTTAAGGCAAAAATACAAAAATGAAGTGAAATAATCATATTGAGATATTTTATTTGGCATATAGTGATTTTTTGAAACGTACGTTACTGTCGCCAACATCGAATAATTACACTTAAATGGCTATGTTTTGTACAAATAACAGTTGAATCTTAAATTAGATAGCATATGTCTTCAAAACATTTATTTGTAAAATGCTTTTAATAAATTATTGAGCATAATCACAAATATATTACCAAACTTTGATTTGATATCCCCATGTCGCCAGAAACAAAATAAAAACGGACTGTGACATTAAATATAGTATGAGTATTTGGTATTGTATGCCTGTAAGATTGGAATACGTTTTATTTTGAAGGAAACTTCTTGAAAATTAAAAATAAATGGTACAAAGCCTTGTATATGTTACCAATACTTTGAAATTACATTCTATCTTCCTATTTTACATGCGTATGGATAGGCATGAAACATTCGTTGTATTAGTTTAATAGATGAAATAGAATGATATCATAGTTAAACATGTGATACTTTTTCTTCTATCCAACAACTGTATTCCATGCTCCAACCATGATTTAACAATGTCTTATTGTTAGCTAACTATTTAAGAGAAAATGATTAAATGAAACAACCGTTACCGAAACATTCGTTACCAAACCTCTTAAAAAAGAATGATTTATGAGTTCAAACATCTTCTGCACATATACGTGGTCAAATATTTTGCGCCAGTATTCAAATTTTGACATCCAGAGTACGGTACTGCCTTTTTATGATTTTTTTCTAAAGTCTAGACAGTGTTGGTGAGTTTGTTTTCTAGAATGCAATAACAATGAATTAAATGGAATGAATTAGTATGTAACTGTTAATATTTATATAACAACCGACAACAACTACGCAACCAGTATCAATCTACACCTGAATGTCCTCTATTAGTCTTGAAAGGTGTTGAAACATTCGTTACCGAAGGTAACGAATGTTACAAAATTTTTAACAAATCATATATCAAAATTGCAACAATATTTACAGAATTTCTTTCACGACTAACTGTTCGAATGTAAACTTTATTGATTGATTTGTATCATTTTAAGCTTAAGTTGCATAAATTTTAATATAAACTGATTCTAGAGACGCATTATTGAACACACACATTAATTCTGAAGAAAAACATTAATTGAAATTATTTTGAAAGACATTTTTAGATTGAATCATATGATATTGATTAAACAAAGGCTTGAGTTTCTATTCTGAATCTACATCAGGGTTTTTTGTTTCTCTCTTATAATTTTGATACTGTTTAACTCGCATTTTATGTTAAGTAACGTATGTTTCAGCATTTTATTTTAGTTGAACTATGGCATTGACCCAAGCAGAAATACGAAGGAAGTTTCCATTGATGGTTAAATGATTTCAAGCTAAAAGTCATCAGAAAAATTGTTATTTACATTATTTTAGGTTCTGTTAAAACGTCTATACAGACAATTTTACATATATCTCTTATCCGTTTGTACATATACAGTTCAAGGAAAATATGACACGATGATATATATGATGCAGTTCAAATTATGATTTCTTTTGACATTTTCAATACCATGGCACAAGTAGAGCAGAAATTACATCTCATGAATTGGTCCATTTTGTTGGAATTAAACTTAAAAACAGTAAATATTACTTCTCATGAAACATTCGTTACATACCAACGTTGTTGCAATTGAAAGTGTAAATAAAAACAAGATCACAATTCATGAACAACATTTTATTTAACGTTTCTATAAATGGATCCTGTATTCATTTAGAACCCCCATTTGCGCTGGGCAGTTTTGATTTTTCTTGAGGCATATTTGAAATATAAAATTTTAAAGAAATGTCAAATTCATTTGAAGAAAAAAATATAATACGACAATTTGATTGCATCAATTCATAAAATACATTATGACAGTTGACCTTTTTTTGTCTTATCACGAAAGTAAATAGACTGATTTGCTTTTGACATTGAGGATCTATTACAATCTATATTATTTCATCCTAAAATCTTAAAGGAAAACTATAATATGTTACGTAACACTTGTTTCTCAGCAAATAATGATCAACAATACACCTTTATTTTAAATTGACGTAATTTCTTAACCAATGAACTTAACTTGAAAAATCTTTGGGAATACAAACTTGATATGTTGATCTATCCGAAAATGTTATTAGCAGATGGATAATCAAAAGTCGATTTTTGAAGAAAAAATATCTTGAATTGCACCAATTTATTGAGTTTGGGTGTATTGAATACTTCATGGTATCCATTCTTGAGAATCTTCCACATTTTTAACCTTAAGGTGTTGGTCTTAGTTTTGACCTCATTGTTAATTATTTTGATTGTAATTTCTTTGTTTGGAGGATGAAGTTTTAATTTGATTGACAGGTACCAGCAGTGATTCCTCTTCTCAACAATCAATGGTCACCTCGGGGTCCAGCTCGGAGAATATTGCCACACTGACTAATGTTAGCACAGCAGGACTACAGACAGCTCAAGCAGGTATACATCAATAGTACCAGCAATAGTCCCTCTTTTGGAGATAGTTATTGTTTAAGAGTAATCTGGTGTAATTTTATTTAACCACAATAAACTGTTTTCAAACTACACTCAGATTAATCAAAGTACTCATTCATCTGTAAGCTGTACTCATTGAACTAAGTAATTAAAATTAAAGGCTTCAGTGACATCTGCAGCTGGTTAACATTTTTAAAAAAAATTGTGAAAATTAAACTTAAAAAAAAACAAGGGCACCGCAAAGCGAAAGAGCATCTCAATCCTGATATGAATTATTACTTGCTTAGCTGTTGTTCACACCCCCCCCCCCCCCCCCCCATCACACACACAGATACATGAGCATTACTATATCCTCACCAACATTTTTTTTGGCAAGGGAAACACAATTTTACTTTTCATATTTTCCTAAACGAATACTTTTATGATTCTTATTTATAATTCTAAGTGAATAAAAAGTAAATAAAAAGTTGACACTAGGTTTTGAATATTTTGAGTAATCAGTGTAAATTTAATTTTTTGAGCAGTGATCATTATGAATGATTTCTGAGTTATTGCTAATTGCAAGTGCCATACTTTGCAGCTATTTTTGTTTAACTGCAACTTTTGCCTTGCTGCACTGAACAAAACAATTAATGTAGATTATCGAAATTCTGTTACTGATTACAGACAGAAAAATCAAATCTTGACCAGTGTGTTTATTAATTTTTCTATGCTTCAAATTTGAACAATATTGCATAAAATACATACGAATCAATCGGAACTGAGACAACCCTTAATTGGCGACTTAACTGTACGTAGGCAAGCTACATGTATGTAGCTAAATATATAGTGATTTGTTAAGAAGTAAATGTTTACATGCTTAAAAATGACCAACAGAAATTGTGGATACGTAAACCTGTAATTGAAGACTTCACTGTACGTAAGTAATTCAAGCTAAGTAGCTAAATATGATGTTAACAAAAATTTTGAACCCAATTGCACACAACTCAATTATAATTTACACTTGGAAAAGCAAAATACTATATGTTATATTTTATTATTCCCTCGTTCAGTTTTATTTATGTGATTGGAATATGAGAAGATCAGACAATAGATGAAAAAATTAAATATATACATATATCAAGGCAACTCCTGGTGCAAATTACATCACTTCTTAATCAGTTTTGCACAGGACTAACTAACACACCCACAAACAAATGCGTTACTATGTCCCCTCCAACTCCATTGCGAGGGGATCAGTGCTCCCACTGGAGCGAAAATATTTTTCGCCACTTTTCGCGATGAAAGGAATCACATTTTTACATCTCGTCTCGACATGTGTACAGTGTTAAACACTCCACTAATAGCACTATTTCAATTTGTTTATATCACAGACATTGTTTTAAAATTGTAAAATATAAAGTTGTATCCACTTACAAAACTGATATAGGAATTATTTCTACATTTATACAATTAATTTGATACTGATATTAGCCAACTCTTGATAGTAGATGTCCTCTTGTTCATAACTTTTTAGCCTGGGGAGGGGGGTTACAGACTTAGTAAAGATATATGACATTTTTTTTTAAAAAATGAAAAAATAATATAATAGGCGAAAATTTTAATCATATCAACAATTTATTGTGAAAAGAAGTAATTAAAATCACGTTTAAAACTTGGCTTAATTTAACAACTTGGACACTGGGTGTATATGCATGTAAATTCATATAACTGAAAATAATTCAGCGTAATTGACGAAAGTATTGTTTTGTTTCCAAGTCAGTATCTCTTTCACTCTTTGTCAGTTTATGGTATAATGAACACACTATTTTGACTTTAATCAGGTAAAATTAGCAGCTATGCTCTGCAATTTTCGTCATGTTTTCCTACTTTCGGTTTAAAAAAAACAATCTATATAGATCCAGATTTTATTGATTAAAATCTTTTATTAACTAACTTCATCTCCCAAAAACACTTCGTCTTTCCTTGTTTAATCCATCTTATATTATTTCAAGTAATTTTGTATCCCCTTACTGCTCCAGGCTAAAGTTACCTACTAAATCAGCTGTGTGCGTTCAAGCGAGACGTGATTTCCTACATGTACATTGCTTTGTTAGTTTCATGGAGTTTTCACACCCTGAATTCACACGTCTGCTTGCATTAAATAAACAAAGGGGCTAATCTGTATACATTGAATAAACAAAGGAGATAGCCAGGAGTACACACACTTTCAAATTGTATGGTATATCTAAAAAAAAAAGTTCATTTTCGCCACTTTGGAATTTCTTTTTGCCACTTTTGGAAAAAATTCGCAATTGGCGCAAATGGCGAATCACAGCTCGAGCCCTGGAGGGGATAATTAAACATCAAATATATAGTTGGGACCATGGGCTAAGTTAATCAGGGTATGACACCCCAAAGATAGCTTAGCTGGTTCCCTGTCCCTGTTTCTCTTTGCTTGTTTCTTCTGTCCAGGGAGCTATTAAGCTACAACATGATGATGAAGACTTTGCATATCTGAGTAAAGTTTTATAAACATTATGTTTTACAAACATGAAAAGTTTGAAAACATTACTTTTAATGTTTATTTGTTTTGAAAAATCTTCATTTTGTTTTTGCTTGTATTGTCTCGGCAGTGATTGAGAGGAAGTACTATATTTTTACATGTAAATTTAATTTGGCGTTTGTTAGTCAACATTTGACTTGAACAGACTGACAGTAGCTGACTATTGCTCTACAAGCAATGAGCCTGGCTAAAAACCAATAACAGAAATGAAGGTATAAATGGGTATAAATCTTTCTGTAGGTACACAGAACACAGCAGCCATGACCCCTGGTGTTGTCATGTACCACACTCCTCAGGGTATTGTGTATGCCCCAACAACACTGCAGGATGCCAGTCGCTCCATGTTTAACTTCCAGCAGACCCCCACAGCCCTGCCTTTATCCCAGTCAGAGAATGGTCAACAGATCATCACAATTCCTATACCAGTCAGTCTGGCTGCAGGAGGCAATTCACAGGTAAAGTGATTGCAAGAGTTTGATAAAATAAAGTACACCTACTTCCATTAAAAAATTTCTATTTCTATTTGCTTTGAACTAAGTATCTAATAATCTTACCTATATCTTCAATACATTGATTGCAAATTGTAACTCTTTTAAAAGAACTCTTTTTTTAAACTTTGGAAGTGTACTTGTGAATTTTTCAGAATGGTTTTTATATAACTAAATATTAGATAACATTAAATAGTTTTAGGAATTTATGTATATCTTTTGTAGGTCCCAATTCAGTATCAGTTTGCAACACAAGTATCAGACACTCAACAGACAACTCTCTCTCAACCCACATCTGCTAAAAAACCCAAGAAATGAGAGGAGGAAAATATCATAAACAGAGTTACCTACTCTTGAGAGGAGTGGAGCAGACAAGAGTTGTGTGCCCCTGCATCATAAAGGTTGTCTTCCACAGTCTGTGTGACCATATGTGCCAAAAACATTCTTACAGAAAGCCCGTGTACTGTGATAGGGCTTTGAGGTGAACATATGTAATTTTATGGTAAGGATGAAAGAAATTTTCATAAGGAATTGGATCTTTTCTTTGACATTTATATTCATTGTGTATGCAATATGAATCTTAAGAATTTAAGAATGGACACTCCCATTATCATGGAATTAAATGATATAAATACAATTTGAATTTTGATGCCACTTTCATTTACCATACCTTAATAAAAAGAATACATGTATTTACTATGGAATTCAAATATCCAAGACTTGATTTTCATACATTACTTGACATAACGATAAAGGTACATGTTTATAGATGATTGGAAGTCATGTCTATCCCATTTTAAAGTATTAAACTTTTGTATTGTTTACAAAGCCTCTAATTTGGATGGCTAAGGCTTTATGCAAAGGGATCAATTATTATCATAAGTCACATTAAGTTCAAGCAATAACTGATAATAAACTTGGTAAAAAAAAAAAAAGACAGAAGAATATGCAAAGGAAAGATAATATACAGCCATACCATAGCTTTTGAAAAAAAAAAAAGCTTAAAATATTTGAATGTATGCTACAGTGATGAATGAAATTGAATTTTGATGTTTATATAGAAGCATGACAGTTTGATCATATACTATGTATATATATTTTTGTATCTTATTTAGATTTTGTATTTATAACTTGTTACAATATTCTTGTGGAGTTAAATGTAACCTTCATAAGTTTAGACTGTAGATTCTTTTCCTAATTTTATAAGTATGTGTATCTATAGTATTAATCTTTTCAGTACCCATACTAGAAACTATCAGTTACACACAAAATGGCAGCTGTTTGGTTTTTTTTTAAGAATTGATTTAGATGTATATATTGTTGATTTAAGTACCAGTAATATTACTTTTGTATTGTTGGTGATTCATTTCAGCTTTGGACCAGTTACTATATGAGAATTGTGCTTTATGTTACACATGTATTCTTCATGCGATAATTCTTCATTTCAAAGTGGTGTCTGCTGCCATCTTTCATCGATTCCTTGCAGATCAAACTTAAGGTTACAAGATGTTGTAAACAGTTTGTAGTAGAAAAATGCATCAACATAATTTTTTTGCATTAAATGTGTGCTTTTTTGTGGCTTATCATTATTACAAAATACCATTTGTTTCGAATTTCACACCCTGTCTGATTGCAGGACATAAAACATTTGCATTTTTTTTTTTACAGAAGATTCTTAATTTTTCTGTATATTCACTATCATAATTCTTTTAACTAGTCATTTTAATTCAAACCTATTTCTTATGTATATTTTAATGATCAAGTATATTGAAATCCAGTTATGTATTATTTATTGATGGTTTTCAAAGCTATTGTGTGTCATATCATGTTTAAAAGATTTCTGAATTTCATCTATAAAGTTAAGAATTAAAACACATTATCTGTTTAATGCTATATTATTAAAGATATTTGTACATTATAAATATGTGTGTCTGTTGTTCATTGAAATTCAGAGTGGTTTAAGTTGGTAACCATATTTAAGGGGTACTTAAAAATGTGCATTATTAAAATATTTGGAATCTCTCAGATATATGGCCATTTTCCCCCCTTTTCCAAAGGGAGCTTGAATGTATTCCTGAGTACCTTTTCAGTGGGTGTCTATGGAATTTGACATGCATTCCATATGTTGTCAATCTGAATAAAACCTGCTTGCCTCCACCGACTTTTTATAGGTTGCAGGTTTAATCACTAAAATTGATATGAATATTTGTAAACATTCAAATACTAGCTTTTCATACATTGGATGTCTGTGAAGGTATATAGGAGTGAAAGGTTTGAAAAGCCCAATGTGAAGTTCTTTGATATATGTAGAATTAATCTGCAAAATTAAAAAGTTTTATCTTGAAAACTGTAGAGGAGTTATCCGGACAAATGATGTACCTTTTCAGCAATCTTTTAGAATCTACACTTCCTCAGGGCACTTCCACAGAAGTTTCACCTTTTTGGACCCAGTGGTTCTTAAGATTTTTTAATGACCATATCCTATTTTTGCCTTTTCTTGATAATCTACTCTGGGAAGGAGGCTTAGCCCTTCATTTGATTTACTTAGGACCCCCTTTACCCAAGGATACTTTGGTCAACTTTGGTTAAAATTGGCCCAGTAGTTCTTGAGAAGAGGTCATAAATGTGAAAAGTTTACAGACTGACGTATGCCAGCCAAAGGGTAATCAGAACAAGTGGCCCACGGGCCACAATGCTCACCTGAGTAACTTTGGCCCTGCTGTTCTTCACCTGATTTCCTACGTTGTTATACCTTTTGTGGCCCCGCCCTACACCCCCCCCCCCCCCCCCCCCCCCCGTGGTCATGATATGAACAATTTAGAATCTACACTACCCCACGATGCTTCCACATAAATTTCAGCTTTTCTGGCCCAGTGGTTCTTGAGAAGAAGATTTTAAAAGATTTTTACTACATATTTCAATGTAAAATTTGGATTCCCTATTGTGGCCCCGTCCTACCCCCGGGGGTCATGATTTGAACAATTTAGAATCTACACTACACCAGGATGCTTCCACATAAGTTTCAGCTTTTCTGGCCCAGTGGTTCTTGAGAAGAAGATTTTTCCTATATGATTCAATGTAAAACTTGATTCCCTATTGTGGCCCCGCCCTACCCCCAGGGGTCATAATTTGAACAATTTAGAATCTACACTACACCAGGATACTTCCACATAAGTTTCAGCTTTTCTGGCCCAGTGGTTCTTGAGAAGAAGATTTTTCCTATATGTTTCAATGTAAAACTTGATTCCCTATTGTGGCCCCACCCTACCCCCAGGGGTCATGATTTGAACAATTTAGAATCTACACTACACCAGGATGCTTCCACATAAGTTTCAGCTTTTCTGGCCCAGTGGTTCTTGAGAAGAAGATTTTTCCTATATGTTTCAATGTAAAACTTGATTCCCTATTGTGGCCCCGCCCTACCCCCAGGGGTCATGATTTGAACAATTTAGAATCTACACTACACCAGGATGCTTCCATATAAATTTCAGCTTTTCTGGCCCACTGGTTCTTGAGAAGAAGATTTTTTAATGACCCCTCCCAATTTTTGTCTTTTCTTGATTATCTCCCCTTTGAAGGGGGCTTGCTCTTTCATTTTAAGAATTTAAACTCCCCTTCACCCAAGGATGTTTTGTACCAAGTTTGGTTAAAATTGGCCCAGTGGTTCTTGAGAAGAAGTTGAAAATGTGAAAAGTTTATGGACGGACAGACAACGGGTGATCAGAAAAGCTCACTTGAGCTTTCAGCTCAGGTGAGCTAAAAACACACTTGAGCTTTCAGCTCAGGTAAGCTAAAAAACCTGGCAACAGTGAAAAAATATAAATGCTATTTACATAGAGGGTATTATCACCACTTGTTTGAAGAAACTTGAATCCCATTTACCCACAAATACTTTGTGCCAAGTTTGGTTGAAAATGGCCCAGCAGTTCTAAGATTAAAAAAGTGAAGTTTACAAGATTGAAAACACTGAAAGACAACAGAGTGAGACAATTTTTTTTAATCAGAAAAGCTCACCTAAATTCATTGCTCTTTCCAACATTCAAGTCTTAAGGTATGTCACTCATCAGCCTTTTAGAAAATTTCAGTCAGAACCTCTTACTTAAAAACTATTTATTACAATTCAATCTTTATAACATATTTAAATTAAACAATGTAAAATGTTCAACATTCAATTAAAAAACTGCTTAAAAATTCACAAAGAAGCAAGATTTATAAGGGACTATTTCTAGTGGCGGAAGGATATTTAGCAGAAAATTCTTCAAATCTACACATTTATTAAATTTAATATCTTGGAACTTTAGCCTCACATACTTTTACTCAGAGAATATTTTCCTTTATGATATGCTAGGAAAATTAAATATAGGTCTCAATTTATATTTTTATAACAAAATTTACACCTTCGCTCAACAAACATTGCCAAGAAATGAAGATATATTAAGGAAGTCGAGATAAAATTTACACAGTTTTTTTGCCTGAAAATCGCATATTTTGGCCAATATTTCAAAATTTACATCACTGACCCCAACTTTTTCTTTCATTATTTTAAACTACTCGATACTTTTGACCGATCAGCACTTAAGTCGTAAAAAGTTTGATACAAGAAAATATTCTATTGCCTGTTTAGATTTTTAATACCCCAAATATGAGACTTTTTCAGTGCAAAAAGGTCACACAATAATTTACGCACATTAATTTGCATGATTTGTTCAATGATAAATATTATTCAAACTATTTTACGTAAAATAAGATTATGTTTATTGCCATGGTTACATCTTATAAAATATGATAACGGTTAAAGTGATTAACCAAAGAGTTACAATTTAAGTGCAAAAAGGTCAACTTAATTGTACCATAGCTCAGTTAGATGCACACTGACCCCCCATTTTCTCTGCGATTTTGAGTCATACTATATGAGTACTTATCCAAAATATACTTCTCAAAAAATCCTTGATATAACAAATTTCACGAGTGACATACCTTAAAGGATTCTCAAGTTATGATCTAGTGATTTTTTTTCTCATTTAAGAAAAGGGTCAAAGTAAAAAATTTGATGAAGTGCATCTCATCTGAATTTCATTGTTTTATGTTCCAAGTTTAAAGTCAGGTTTTCAAGTAATGGCCTGGACATTATTTGGATGAAGAAAAAGGAGATTTAAATAATAGGTCATCAAAACCTATGGTGGAGTGCATCCCTCATTTATCTTGTCTTCCCATGATCCATTCTGAAGTCTTTATATCAGTTACAGCCTGACAATATTTGGAGAAAGAATAACAATAAAACTGGCAAATCCACATGTCTCCCTTCAAAGAGAAGGCATAACAAATACTCCTTCAAATTACTATTCGTCTTCAAAATAATCTATTCACAGATGGACATTAATTTTACAAATCATCAAGTAAATAATATCAGACAATTCAAAACCAGTCTGCCATGTTAAGAATTTTAGAGCTTTCAATCTTGCATGCTATGCCAGGTATATGTAATTTTGTAATGATGAACAGTATGTACCAATACTACATGTATTCTGAAGGACATTAATTGAAAGGTCAAGCTGACTAAATGTTGCAATTACTTTATGAGAACATTATTGCAAGTTTGCAACATATATACTCTACAACTACAAGACATTAAAAAAAACATTAAACATTGAAATACCCGGTACATTTATTGCAGAGTTTTTGCTTATGTGTCTTTGTAATTTTTTACCACATGTACATTGTATTTTTTTTGCTACTGCAGTCACATAACTTGAGTGTATTTCCTTTTTCAGAATAGAGAGCATAAACCTATGCAAAAAAAAAAGGTGCTCAATTTTTTTTTAGAATGTACAGAGACACACAATCATGCATCATTGAATAAAAGTTTACATGTAATTATTCTAAATGTGAACAAAATTTTTTTGACTTTTTTAAAACTTAAAAAAAATCATTTTACAATGAAACCAGGCACCTGAATTGATTGCAAGCGACAAAATGAGGTACATGTTAGTTTATATGTGTAAAGTATGTATCACAAATGGAAATCCAATGAACACAGGGTATTGAAATACAAAATATTGCAAATTATCAATTTTTTATTGAAATAAATTTTACCAAAAAGAAAATCAAAAATGTCTCTGTTAAATTCTTACATCAATAGTGTCAAAAACAGTCAGAGACCTTGAATGATTGACTGCATTTCATTCCTGCATTTTTGAAAATATACTACTTTTCTTTTCCAGCATTCTATACTTTTCATATCTGGCAGTGCTTTTCCAACAATAACTCAATCTTTGCTCCACGAAAAATAAAAATTTAATGTAGAACAATATAAACAAAAAAATTCTGACAAGTGAAGAAACATGCCTAGAGCACATAAAGCATCCAGGACATAAATTATACATTTACATTACTAATATAAAACTCTATTAGATTATTATATTATTAGTAGTGTATACCACCCATACTTGCTTATAAGTTAGATTCTTGGGAGTTAATGATTCAAAACTCCATGTCAGACTTATAAGCCAGTCTTAAAAAACTAGATATTTTTCTGGAAGAGGAAATATAGTAATACTGTAATACCCCCAAAGATAATCATTTATAAAGGTCAGAACTTAATCTTATGCAGGAAAGGAAGACCTGTATATACATAAAACACATGTGCTTACAGATTTTAATGATCTAATGTTTGTTTAAATTGTTAATAAAAGATCAAATATCTATGCCATTTCCCAAAAGATACTTTGAAACACAAATAAATACAATAGAATATTAATCTGAAATTGCCAACAGATTCGACCAAAAAAACCCATACCGACTTATAAGCAAGTCAAATTCTTTCAAAATAATCTGAAAAAATAGTACTGATTTATTCAATTCAATTCAACAAACTGACTTATAGACGAGTATATATCCGGAAGTTTAATTTGACAATTGAAATCATTTAAAACCTTTGACTAGACAGTGCTGTTTGTTTATAATGTTTTGAAATATACATATATGTAGAATGTATGTATTTTGAAATAAATAAGATATTTAAATCCTCTTCACTAAATATTAAATTGCTGAAAAAGTACTAAGAAATTGACAGATAGGTAATAATGAAATAAAAGGTGCGGGAAATGCCGAGTATATTGCCAGAAATGAAATGCAGTGGAATGACCAAAAAAAACAACAACATTAAACTGAAACAATATTAATTAAGTAACCATGATTATTTAATAACAATAGTCCTGAGATTCAGGTGGGGAAAATGACAATGATTCTGTGAAAATAAATGCTTAAATTACATTCAAAAATAAACAATTAAATAAGATTCTTAATTATTTTCATGTATTGTAGATATCAAAAATACATTTTTTAAGATAACGTTTGCGTATAACCTTTATCTCTTCTGGTCCACCACCTGGGATGAAGCATGACCTAGATAACGTACACATTCTATCATTCCCTTTGTACAGCTGTGCATTGTCAAACTACCATACAACATGACATTTCATAACTTTCATGTAAAAATAAACCCGATTTAGAAAAACACTGCTAAAATTACTGTCATGCACATTGCTGAAACAAAGATGAAATTAATTCATAAAATTATATATGTATTCCAAATATGTGTATATTTAGTTAATCATTAATCAATGGATTTAACTTTAAGATACATGTATATATAAATTTTTAAAACAAAAATGATTTTGTGTGTGTATATATATATATATATATATATATATATATATATATATATATATATATATATATATATATATATATATGTATTCTCTCAATAAGAAAATCATAATATGCCATGCCCATTAAATTATGAAATCAAATTGTGAAAATAAATTAAAAAAGCCCATTGTATTTGAAATACATTTTTTTAAGATAGGAGATTTTGCATCTGTGTATGTCAAAACAGAAAGATCATGCTGTAATAATTAATCAGTGCGTGTAACATAAGAACTCATGCAACCAATGCTTCTGTTAGTATTTGGGCCAGACAGGGTGCTCAAACTACATGTATATAATTATATCCCAGTCAGTAATACATGTAAAATCAAAAGTTTAAAAACATCTAACATGCACAGGTATATAACAAGATCACCTAAAACAATGAATTCATACATTTATAAATACTTACTCTACAGACTTGCTGTAGCATATTTTAAAACAGGTTACTGTGAAACCAACTAAACAAGGTTGTATAGAAGGACAGAAGATGTTGACAAGGTACCAAGTACTGTAAATCACTTTCTATTTTTGCGTAATTACACGAGACTGCCAGCTCAGAAAAATTAAATTCTCACGTATATTTGTATTACTAAAGATTATACAGAACAATAACAAAAAACTCATGAAAATTTTGTCTCGCTTATAAATACCAAATGACTATTTCACAAAAATAAGCTGTCACTAAGATTGGTGATCTACAGTAAAGTAATCAACAGATTATAAAAACTAAGAGGGAGAGGTTCCAGAGAGTTGAGCTGTATAAAGAGTATAGGCAGATACAGTTTGTGTGACTAGAGCATGTGCTTGATATGTAAGTGCTTATCAAAGAGCAAGAATTTGAATATCAATATAAAATACTATATTGCAGTGTTTGTACTGCATAGGACCAGCTGTCTAACTTTCAGGGGCACCATGCTTCAAATTCTGATACAGTATATTGTATTTTTCCCTTCCTTTTATAAATATCTGTATCTGTCCTGAATGATGAAATCCAATCACCAAATCAAGCTATACTTAATTACCTTTCATTATAACTCCTCTCTGTAACATACAAGCTCAAATGTGAATCAATCCCACAAACTTAAAGTACAATAAAATTATAGGCCTTACGAATGTTAATAAAAAATTATTAAATATAACAATAAAATTGAACATGTATTCTTGATACAATAGATTTCAATTCTTTGTTTGAAATGTACAATTTAGGTGTAATATAATAGTGAGCACAGCGAGCTCAATAGACTAATGTGTGAGAACAGAGGAAATTCGGAATGACATATACGTCAGGCAAATTTTTGTGTGAAACCTTCCCAGAATTCCCTCACTACCAGGATTCCATGCGATAATGGCGATAAAAATAATATAAAATGTAAAAGGCCTGCAGTTTGCCGAGAGCTAAAAATTAACAAAAAATAATTGCATTTACTGTGCAACCCATTTCGTTAAAAACTGCACTAGGCCTGTAGTCTCGTTCAACAAGGCGCTCGGCTGTCTCCGTAAATTCCGACGTCATATGACGTCACAGTCTAGACTGTGTCTCATTGCGGTTTGGAAGTTTGAAGAGGCGGATCAAAGTTTGCAAGTATAATTCGATGGTACAACTGCGCTCGCCCCAACAGTCACACCATAAAACATATTATACAAGTTCAATTTAACTAAAGAACTTCTGCTAAATTGAATATGAAAAAAAGAGCTAAAATGTAGGCCTATATCAGAAAATACTAGTATAATTATAACGGTGGATCAATAAATTGAGCAACATAATTTATACAGAAATTAAACAACAGATTTATGTACACCAAGGTTAAATTACATGTATCTAAAACATTTACATTTTTCTCTTTTATATGCAAGTGAACAATTTGGCACAATAAATTCGTAGACACCTTAGTTTAATTAATTGGTCATACAAGATCTAAAATCACAACCATTTACAAAATTTATATAAAAAAAATAATTGCAAATAAAGATTTGGCTAATAAGGGATATATCATTAAATGAATGCTCCAAAAATGAATATCATATTAATACTTAAGTACTACAAAGAATAATTTTCTTCTTTTTTAAACCAAATATCAGTAAGTATATTTTCATCTTAGGAAATGGTTGTGATTTCAAGTTTTCAAAAACCTCCATTACTTTTTCCTTCTGCACTGATTGTGTAAGGCATCTAGGTGTAAATAGCTGGCTACGAAAACACGGAATATTTTATTGAAATCTTCTGTTGTGTGATAGTCTATGTGTGCTGCGTCATCTGACATTCTGTGCCACACGCTTGGGAATGGTGCTGATATCAGATGAAGGATTGGTACCCCTGTGATGAAATAACTTATTTAATAATACTGCCTTTCCTATACCCCCACTTTTTGTGGGAAAAACCATTCGTCAAACTGAGAATGGTACAGCCAAAATAAAAATCAAAGACTTTCTATCTGACAAATAAATGACTTTTTTTTCTTTTAAAAAATGAAGGTTACAAACATATGCCAAAACTTCCGAAAAAAAAACATAACCTGATGACAATATACAATATACATGTTGATATACTAGGAGGTAAATTTAATGATACAGGTAATTGTTTTAAGGTATACTTACCTTTGTGTAAAAATGGAATGTGGTCATCTTCAATGCCACCACCAAAGAACTGGTGAGTATTAAACAGAATTCTATTGTTATCATGGAGGAGTCTGTCCTTTTTAAGTTGTAGTTCTGCAACAATAGTAAATACACACATGTACATGTACATGTATATATAGACTGAGATAAACAAGGAAAAAATATCAAAAAGGAAAGTAGTCAGAGAGAAAAAGAAAGAACGGGGGGGGGGGGGGGGGGGTTAAAATGAAATAACAGAGTTGTCAGTTTAATGGAATTGATATTCACTCTCTCTCCCAAGGTAAAAAAAAAAATAAACTAAGTACAGTTTTTCAGATTATCTCAGATTATTCCGAAATCTCGTTTAAGCATGTTCTCATGATATAGTCTATGCAAAATAATCTTTGTTTTTCAAAGTTGCCATTGAAATAATGCTGATTTCAATTCTCGCTTTTTTTTTCCCATTCAATCAATTTAAAAATTCCTAATTTTTCTTTCTACTTTTCCAAATTACAAAAGTTTGGATCCCAATTAAGTTAAAAAAAAAAAGACAGGAGAAAAGAGAAGGGAGAAAATGGTTTAAACAGAAAAAGTCCACCCCCAGTGGAGATTGCATGGTCACACTACAGTTGTGAAATAGCTCAAATGAAGTTAATTATTATCTTCCATCTGAATTTAAGAATTAAAGAAAAAATATCTTCATACAGTTAAGCTCAATGAATGATTAAAATTATCAGTAAAGTACATGTAATTCTGTGTAATATTAATCTAACATGGAATGCTGAATCACCAACAAGTCAATCAGTTCATTGTTTAAGAAAATGGATTGCTAAGACTAGTGAGTAACTTTTAATATTCCTAGAGGACAACTGCTTGAAGTACAAAATTGATTATGACTGCAAGGCCATTAAACTCTCCTCCTACAAAATTTTCCAGGAAATTCCGATATGTTAAGCCCATACCTCTTCTTGCTAAGAGTTCGAAGGCATTTGCTGTTTGTGGGAAGAAGTTGTGAAATTGTACATCACTGGTTCCAATCAAATCCAAAAGAACAAAGATTTCCTAAAAATTTATAAGAATTCCTAAATCATTAAATTCTAAAATTCAATTATTATTCTCCATAATTGATACGATGTTATCCTTTGCTTAATTCTGTTTCTCGAGTATGGATACTCCATCCTTCCTCCAAAGTCAAATTAAAACACAATGTATACAAAAAATACTATGAATATTATTATAATTATGTTATACTTACAATCTCTAACTTTTAGAAAATGAAAACAGACATAATTTGGTATATACAGTCTCTTTACATGTTTTGTTATATATAGTCCCTATACAGTAAAAACTCGTTTAGTATGAACACAGATATAGTGAATTCATGGATATAGTGAAGTTTTTCGGGGTCCCTGGCAAAATTCTTATCAATTCTTTGTAAAATTCTATGGTTATAACAAAGTCTGATATAACGAATTTACAGATATAGCGAACTGATTTTTAAGACCCCTAGAGATTAAAGATAAAGAAATTTACATCTTTTATAAGGAATTTTGAAAGATTTCAAAATTTGATAAATTGAACTGACTTTATTTTCGGTAAGTATTTGCACATAAAATTCAATTCATAAGAAAACCTTAGTTATCCAAGATATTTTTTGTAATAATTGCTTCCCTAACATATTCGATAGAAATACTTGGAGGAAAATGTGTATATTGGGAATTTGTTATATATAGTTATACGAATTCATTATACAGATATAATGAATTACGGATATAACGAATTAAATTCACAGGTCCCCAGGACTTCAATATAACCGAGTTTTACAGTACATTCTTTTTTTTACATACAGTACCTCCTCATCTACTTGCAAATTTCCATTTTAATACAATGATCTATTTCAGAAAAGGGAATTCTACACATGGCAATATATATTTACCACATTTGGTAAAACATTTTCTGCTTCCCATTTGTTGGCCAGGTGCCTCGCTCCATAAATAGAATCTGTGGCAGTCCAATCTTTGTAAGCCTCTTCTCCATCAAAGAACACAATTTGGGGGGTGATGTCTCTGGCCTGTTCAAAACAAGGTTAGAGCATACCCTTCATTTATAAAGAGTTAAAAACATGCAAACCAAATGTTCTGCTAGTGTACATTCCTACATTCATCAGCAAGTTTAGTCACCACAGGTTGTTTGGGAATAGACCTGCTTCAAGCATCCAAAGCATGTCTGGTTGTGTGTATACAAGTTTCATCACCATAGCACTAAAAGTTACTTTGGAATGAACCTACCAATAAATGTAGGTCAGATTCAGCATCCTAAGCAAGTGTGGTAATGGAAGTTTGGTCCAGGTAAGACGTACAGTTTTTGCAAATAATACTGTTCAAAAACTTAAGTCTGTTCACTCATCCAGAAAATGTAGGTCAGATCCAGCATCCGAAGCAAGTCTTTAAGTTTGCATTGCTAGATGCATTATCCATGCAAGTTTGGTCTAGGTAGGGTTTTAAGCTAGACAAGAGACTCACGGGCCTTAACAGTCACCTGAGTGTAATGTAACACTATAAATGATACACAGATTGAATAATTAAAAAAAAACAAAATAAACTGATAAATGAAGCTATGTTGATCAAAAGCAATAGAAATATAGGATGATCATGGAACAGCAAAATAATTTATTTAGTGCTAAGTAACAAATCTTGAAGTTGATCTATTTATTTTGCCTGTACTTGTCCCAATTTGTCATTATTCCCGTGTTGGCTAAACAAAACCATTATCGTTCTTGAGCACTAATTACAATAGTCATATCAATTTACCCTTTCTCCTTGGGCCTTCTCAAACAAACAGTTCAGCTGGATAGCCATATCCAGAAGTATGCCACAGGGCACTGCTGAGTCTGTTGCTCCAATGAAAGCATTTCCATATCTGTCTGTAATGTTTTTAGAATCATAGTGAGCAGCCAGTACCATTTTCTTGGGTTTTCTAGGATCCTGTGTTGCTATGATGTTGGTAAAAGTTTTGATGCCATAGGGGGTCATATCCTGAAACACATCCTCTTCGACATGCCAATCCAGGGCTCTTAGCTTGCTGACAAGATACTGAAAATTAAAACATAGGTAATTAAAGATTACAAAACTCACCTCAATGAATGTTTTCTTAAAGTAAGGCAAAATCTCTCACTTAATTAAGAAATATGTGTATTCTGATACTGTGCATGCCTAGGTGCAACATTTATACAAGTTTTGTTTGGTTAATGGACTTGTTCCAAATCTTGTTCTATTCAATCATCCAGAAAATGTGAAAAGATTCAGCATCCAAACCATATCTGGTTGTGTGCATCCCTAAATGCATCATCCATGCAAGTTTGAGCACCATAGGGTTTACAGTTACTTCAGAACGAGACCCTGCTCCAAAAACACATTTGAAAAATGTAGGTCAGATCCAGCATCTGAAGCAAGTCAGGTAAACTGCATCCAGGCAAGTATGGTCCAGGTTCATCTTAATAGTTCTTGCTCCAACAATTTTTTTATAAAATATTTATTTTTGATAAAATTGCAGTTGACAAGACAAAAATTCAGCATGCAGTCTTATGAAGATGATTTTAACAATTAAATAGTACAATCTGTCTAGGTTTGCAGCATTTTTCATAAACTGCAAAAGGTGTAGTTATTTATAAATTAAATTTTTAATTTGATTAAGCCCTTGCAATTTTGAAATTTACAGATGACCTCATCAGTGCCACATCATGTGACCACAGTCTAAACATAAAATTTAACCATTTTGTATTTTTTATCTCTAATAAATAAATCTATATATATATATATATATATATATATATATATATATATATATATATATATATATATAATATATATATATATATATATATATATATATATATATATATATATATATATATATATTAGGGATGTCAATTTTGTCAATAATTCATATTCGAATATTCAATGAAAGTATTCGAATATATTCGAATATTCTATAAAATAAATAAAATTTGGTTTATTTAAAATATGCATCATCCTACTCTCATAATAGGTTTTGCATAGGCATTCTTATATTGAAAGTAAAATTGTATGAAGACTTTTTTAGTTGTACAATAAGGAATTTCATTTGATATTTGTCAATGTTTGAACTAAATAATTGATTTAAATGTAGAAAAGTATAATTTTAACAAATGATACATGTGTATTTATAGTAGCTCCAACTGAGGAACCAGTCACTTATAGCAAGACAAGATAGTCGTATACTGTTCAGATTTCAATACGTGTAATTAATTACAATTATAAGCCTAGTAAGAGATGTGATTATAATCTTTGAAACAATGTTTTTAAAATATAAACAAATATTTCCGTAGACAATTTTCCTAGGTAATTAACTAATTTCCCGATAAAGAATATAAAATTCAGGATTATGTACAACCCTAGGTAATGAATTAATTTACAAATTTATTATGAAATTGAGTCCTTAACAATATTAATTACAGGCTAATTCTATCGGACATTTATTCAATGATCAATTAAATCTATTTTGATACGTATGCATATACTCGTTACGTCTAGTTGACATCCTAAAAAGGTTTTCATTTTGTTGTCCTCGATTCTAGATCCGATCGTATTTAACTAATAAAAACTATGAAAGTGCATTTTGTGTTATATATAAAGCAATATAAATTATTGTTTAATTCTTTAACACCTTACTCAAAACAAAATAATTTAGTGGATCTATAAGACAAGAAAGTAGCGAAAGAAATCAGGCGATCAAAATTGATCGCTAGTAAATTAAACAAGGTAATTCCAGCACTGTTCTAATCAAAATTTATTAATCACAGTACTTCTTTTTTATGAAATCTGAAAACATCGAATATTCGAATCTTAAATTCATATTCGAATATCAACCCATCGAATGAATATTCGAATGTTTGAATATTCATTGACATCCCTAATATATATATATATATATATATATATATATATATATATATATATATATATATATATATATATATATAAAGGCATGAACGTTTGTAGGAAAAAAGCATACTATTCATCAGTATAAAAACTGTTTCATTAACAGAAATCTTGCTCTTTATCAAAAACATTTTTTCCCCTCCTTAAATTCTAAATTATCTTTTTCCATTAATGATACAAGACTCAAACATAACAATGAAGCCTGCATTCAGGAGAATCATGATAAATGAGGTGTCACTTCTGCCTTGCAGGGACCTTAAAACAATTCTTTCATCCTGTTGTGTGAAAAAAAAATCAATTCTTATCAGAAACTCTAATAATGGACCAAATCATTGGAATCTTTGTGGATCTTTTTTTTTTTTAATCCAAAGTAAATCACCAAAGTGATCCCCACCATTCATACACTCTTGGAATATCAATACTAATTAACTGGATTGAGAAAACTCAGCTATATTACACTGGACTGCTAAGAAAATAAAAATAATTGCCAATCCCGACAAGAAAAGAAAAAAAAACAATAAATTTCCAATCAATTTGATCAGAACTTAATGAATAATTCAAACACTGGTGATTTACTGGTGAAGAGACCACGAAATATCCATATCCGTTATTCAAGTATTCAAATGGACACCATTTTAGCTTCTTAATCAAATTTCTTTTTAAATTATTTACACTGGATTTTTGGGGAAAAAATTCTGAAAACAACTTATTGATTATGGTGTATGAGAGTTCATATAATTACAGCAGAATCTGAAGTAACTATTCAGACCTATATTTAGTAATCATTGTGTGGAAACCTTTGATCCTAAATTTGGCCACAAAAGTCAGTTATTTTAAGAAAAAATGGGTGGCCAATGTTATCTTTGATGTTCTTAACCCCCTTTTTTTGGTTGAGTTCTATTTGTGAAATCAATGATCATGGTTGAAATCAAAGGTAAACTGTATTGGGTAAGATAAATTGTTGTAATGAGTTGTTAATAACAAAATATACAGCAGTGTTTATTGTGAACCTAAATTGAACAAGTTCATTAATAAACCAATTACATTATCAGATGCTGTTAGGGAACAATATAAATGTGACTTTTGTCACTTAAGATAAGTACTCAGTAATGATAATGATTGCAGATATATAACCCTAATTCAACCCAAACCAATCAAACACACACTCCAGTGCAATCAAACTAAGCAGTGCTTTTCAAAAATTTTTGTTGAAAGAATATATCTTGGGGGGGGGGGGGGGGGGGGGGTTCTTGTTGTTTTTTTTTTTTTTTGGAGAGGGGGTGTTGTGGTTGTAAAAATAGATTACTACAGTAGTAGAAATTTTAGTGTATTTAAACCCAGGAGTGATTCATTTTGAAAGTAAATAATGAACTTAGATATTGTAATGTACTGGGAAATTTTATCAGGGTTTTAAATATTTCTGACTCTATAAGTCGGTAGTACTGTACTCTTTCATAAAGAAAAATATGCACTGAAACCTCCTTTACAAGAGACAGTTTAATAAAATGTGAAGCTACCAAACAATGTTCAAGCTCAAAATCCAATAAAACAATACAAACTGAAAGCAGGGAAAATGGACCCCTGGAAACACATGAGGTGGGATCAGGTGCCATGGAAAAGTAAGCATCCCCTTTTGACCAGTCACATCTTGTCTTGATCAAGGTATAAACAGACTATTATGTCAACAAATCAGTATGAAAAAATGACCTCACAGAATGAAGTCAAAGTTACCTGCTTTTGGGACATAACACTCACATCCCCTAGATGTATCAATTGACAAAGTTTGATGATTCTCTGTTTTACAATGTGGAAGATATCATCAAGAAATTATTTGACTATCTATAGCTCTATAGCTACACATTTCCAATATGAGGTCACCATGACCTACTTTTGGATCAATACCCCCCTTCTCACCGATGTATTAACAGACCAGGTTTGATGATTCAAGTCTTACATTATGCAAGATATCATCCAAGCATATGCAAGCTTTAAAATTCCAAAATTAGGTCACAGTGACCTACTTTTGGGGTGTGATACATCCATGATGCATCAATTAACAAGGTTTGATGACCCTAGGACTCACAGTATGAAAGATATGACTTTGACACGAAAAAGCTAACAGACAAATGGAGAGATCAGTAAGCTAAAGAAAGCCATGACCATAGTATGGCCTGTCAAAAGATGAGATTCTAACAATTAAACTGTTGAAGTACAAGTACTGTAGAAAGTGGGCTTACAAAATTTGTTTTCAAGTTTTTAATGAACAAACTTTAAATTATGACATTTTGATTATTAGTCCTGTTATTACAAAGAATTTTTTTTCTAAACTCATGCCATTTGCTGCAGTAAATACACTGATGGATGAACACTGAACCTCATATACTCTAAAAATGTATCTCTATCTTAAGGGGAGATAGGGGAGGGGGGGGGGTGTTAAAACTGATTTATTGAAAATATATCTGAAATGACAATTATGAGCATAAAAGGATAAATAATACATCAGACAGTCCTTTAATTAATAAATGAACATGATGAAAATATTATTTAACAGGATGAAAAACCACATGAAATATAGTTTTGTCTATTCCTGTCCCCAACACTCCTTATTTAGTTTCATAATACTATTTGCGTCTGTAGGTTGTGTAAGAGACAATCCATCACAATAATTAGATACTGGGATGAGGGTCTCTCTGTGATTCTGATCATTTCTAGACCGCGCGGGACTACTGGCACTCACTTCGCATCAACAAGTGCTACGCACCTATTACCATGCTGATCAATTTCAGCAATTGATGCCAATAGCAGCCAATAGTCAATTAACAAACGCACACAATATCTAATTCTGTTTTTATACATCAACCTTTATCTTGTAAATACACTGATGTAGAAATGAAGCGACTGTTTCTGTCATAGATTTTTATGTCAATAATGACTTAATTCCTGTGGTGATATTTCCAGACCAGTCAGATAAAGTTCATATTCAGTTTAAATTCAGCCACCTTTTTAATGATATTTTGTGAGCATTAGACACTTCGAAGATATTTCATTTAAACTTTGATATTTTCCTTTAGAATATGAATGAATTCAATAAAACTGTTCATTTTGCTGCGTGATCCAAGCCTTTACAAATCAGAAGCTATAGGTGGCATCAGTCCATCTTAGCTTACATCCATCTTTTCTGGCCACATTTTACTATCCATCAGTCCAATTCAAATCATAGTATTAAGTAAGTAAGTTTGAACTCCCGAGATCAAAACGAAAGTACGTAAAACAGTACTATTAATTTTTAATCAATCAACAGCATGAAAACATTATGCAGACTTTTATTCAATTAATATTTCCTCTAACAGGAAGCAATATTTGTAATTCAGGGTAATAGACTTTTTAGACCTGACAATCTAAGGTTATTGGGCAATGATAATTCATAGACAGCATAAGTGAGAGGTCCAGTGAAAGGTCAGCATTATCTGAGACTTGTGAAGGAGGATTTCATCAGTCATAGATGTCCACAGAAACTGGCAACTAATTGTGTCAATAGCTTATCAGCAATTCATTGAACTATCCACTTCAATGGTGGAATTACCAACCAATTGGTCAGCAAACATTAAATCTCTTCTCTTAGCATAAAAGCTTCCTGACTCCTGCCTTTTAACAACCTGTTTATTAGTACAATGACTTCTCTAATTCAGTAAAAATGACATGACCATACCAAAGCCTGGTGTAGTTAAATAATTGAATCAGACTATGAATTTACCAAAAAAAAAATTTTAATCAGCTACCTTTTGATGTAAAAATTGTATTTACTCAAACTCAGGATAGTTAAATTAGCTCAGTAGGTAGAGCCCTCACTCCGTGATCAGTAGGTTATGAGTTCAAGCCCCAACCACGATAAGTGCCCAGCATTTTAAATGAAAGTTGTGGGTCTTTTGAATAAGACCTTTAACACACAGCAGGCATAGGCAAAGTAAAGAACCCTCACTGCTAAATAGCCACGAGTGTGGAGTAAAGGTCTAAATTTGAAGCCCTTCACCAGTATATGGTGACATCTGAGTGAAGTAATCTTGCAAGGGACATAAAGTTGCAAAACAATCAACATTCACATATTAATTAACACTGAAAAAGGCTATTGTAACAAGTTCCTAAAACACTGGTTAGAACCCAGGACTCTCAATTCTCTATAATTGGGGCCGTTGAACGGCCCCGTTCCCAATGCAAAAAAAGGTACCTTTATTCCCAAAAGAAAGGTGTAAAATTCCCAATTTTCTGTAGCAAAATATTTTTAAAAAAAATAAATTCAATGAAACTTAATCGCCAAAAGACAAACGCTTACAAGTGAAAGTGAAACAAATATGTTCTATGTATGACTGTATTAATTAGTTCACATCATATATATATATTTGTAAACTGGTTCGGGGAACCAGGTTATTGTTATTACAAACTTAGTTAACAGAAGTATTATGTCTGACTCAATAAAATTGACAAGAAAACATCATCTTGGTACCATAAAATAGACATTTTAATTAAACAACAGTAAGCTGCGCCTAGCACCATGTGCACCAGTCAGTTTCACGCTTAATCTGAAAACCATGATGACCATGTGATCAAGAAATTCGGGAGGACTAGCAACTGTCACTCAGAAAGACAAATAACCACAATTTCAACACTCAAAATTAGTAATGAGCAAAGCCAATGTACTTCCATAAATATCCTATCCATATTTGTTCTGTTTAACAGTTTATTCAAAACCAGAATTGATGACAAAATGCTAGAAAAGCAAAATTTGAGTTTTTTCTTTTTGAATGTTGGATTTCCCAATTTTCCCAAAATGATAGTAATTTCCCAATTTGAACAGCCCCGGCCCCAATCCCAAAAAGTGGTGTGAGAGCCCTCGAACCAAAACATGTTTTTTAGAGGAGTAGGGTATTTTTGTTGGAGGGTTAAAATCACAAAAAGCAAAATCAATCTACAGTAACAATTTCCACCAATTAGACGATGCTGTCAAGCTCAAGATAGAAAAGTGATTGATATTTAATCTGCGACTGACTTCTGTAAACAATTGCGAACTTCATTTGCATATATAAAATTACACAAAGAAAATGGGGGGAGGCGGGTTAAAATTGCCTGTAAATCCTCCTTTGTGTCTTTTCAAAAGAATTGAAATTTTATGTAATTGAATTACAACATGTACAATAAAAGAATTATAATATATGATATCATAAATTAATCAGGCCAAAAGATCATAATGCTTAAGTGAACTTCCCTGTAATTGCAGCATCCAAATCTTGAGACTTCTAATTATTATATCAAACTATCTGTAAAAGAATAATTGGCTTCCCCATGGCAGCATTTTATTTATCTCTCATCCTAAACACTAACATCATCTAAAATGTGGAATACTAGAACATCTTACTGCCATCTTCAGTCTCACTCTGGTACTGTGAAATCTTGGTATCAAATACAGAAATTCACAGACTCTGGTCAGATAAAATTAATTAATATGTCAAAGTTTTATAAATCATAGAGAGACATCAAGATATTTATAGACCTGGCCACTCAAAGTACAGTTAAATCTTGTTATCTTGAACTCAGTGGGACAGAGGAAAACCTTCAATGAGATATCCTAAGATTTGAGATATTGAGGGTAAAATACTTATAAAAAAGGTGCTTAGGGATTTCTAAATTACTTCAACATATCTATGGTATTTGAGATATCCATGTTCAAGATACCAAAGTTCAGCTGTATTATAAACCATTTAGCAACATCAAGACATATGTAGACTACCTACATTTCTGACTATTGTACTGCCCTCTGTGTCCGGCATTCTTGGGATCAAAATGGGTTTTACAAGCTTCTTAAAGGCATTCAAATCTGTGTAATCCTCCACTATAACCTTCAAAGCCCTCCCTGATATCCATCTAGCTGATCGGGCCCTGTCCTGAAAACACAAACAAAGCAGTTTTAAATGTTTTCATCATACCAGCATTTAGTTTTGAACATGATGTCATAAAATTTGAATTTTATTTTATTATTTGTTTTTTTTTTTTTTTAGTTAAGGCATAAGGTATTCCTCTGACAAATCCAGTCAAACCTCGTTATCTCAAACACAGTGGGACCCTCCAAAAAATTGGGATATCCAATGATTTGAGATATCAAGGTTAACATGGTTAAAATACATTAAGAATAAGTGGTTGGGACTTAATGTCAACATATCCATGGTCTTTGAGATAGATTGAGATAACAAAAGTTCAACTGTATGATATTTTATCATCACTGTGACGCAATACCATTGTATAACAATTCATAAGAAGCCTGTGTAGCAACATATAAATAAAATATTTATAACAATTATTCCATGGTCACTTGAAATCATGGTAAAGCAATGTATAGAGACAACAACACAAGAAATCATTAATAATGAAGGACTATCCACTATCTAATTTCCCTGTGTTTGTGTAATGCTGAAGAACTAATATTGTTTATTCACTCAGTGTAACTATACACAATAGAACCCATCAGCACATAATAATAACATATAATATTGTGGAGGAGTCTACAATATAGAGAAGGGAAAGACCCCTGATCTAAATTTGTTATTACTATGCCCATGGTGAATAGGAAATAGTGTTTCAGATTTCAACAAAGAAAAAAATTTATAAATAGGTACCTATTCTTTTGAACAACACAAGTAAAACACCCTATTAACATTTCTGCTAAGAGTAATAGATATAAATTGTTTTTTTTGGGGGGGGGGGGGATTACTCAATTTTTCTTTTTTTTTCAAAGTGGATTCTTACATGCCTCAAATATTCCAAATTTTTTTCCTATTTCACCATTATAAACATCTTAAGCAAGTACTCCATTTTTAGAATTAGTATTTACACATTCTATGATTGTTACAAATAAGAGTCCTATATAAATCAACAAAGGTTTTCATTGCAGTATGTCTGTAACTGTTGATGTCAAAAATGGTATTTCACAAATTCTGGGGAAAAAAAAAGAAAAAAAAATGAATCACCAGTTTTGATGTGACAAAAAGACAACAAAATATTATTCCTCACATAGTGAAATATACTATTTATTTTAAAAAGATTTTAAAATTTCAAAAGGCATCTCACACTGATGGCAAAACCAGATAGGAAAGCATAACTATACAGTATAGTGGGGGGAAATTTCGATTAACACTCATTACTGTGAAGAGAAAAATAGATTATTAATCACATATTCAGACATGATCTATAATATGGTGGTGCTCTGAAGAAATTAATCAACTCTATTTTTTTCTTTCTCATTATTATCTGTTGTTTGCACAAAAATAATTATCACCTCATGAAGGAACTCAATAATCATCTATCTATTACAAATGAAACTGTCCAGCAAAATATCCATATTAAAGGGAAGTCTAAAATATATATGCTTTATGGCATGAATGTGATAATGTTGTACTGTGTTTTCCTTGGAAAGCACCAATTTGACCAAACATATTCAAAAATTTTGAAAAAAAATAGCATTCATATTTAAATCCCTGCTAATAAAATACAACACATATGAAAGGTAAATTAGCAAAGAGAGGATCAAGGACACTATCCTCATTCAGACAGAAAAGTGACTTTAATATTAGACTACAGTTAAACTTCATTATCTCAAACACTGATATCTTGAATATCGGAAATATGTCAAAGTGATTTGGCAGTGTCAACCACATTTTCTTTATCTGATTTTTACTTTCATTTAAAGTTGAATCCTCTGATATCTCAAAGCTTAATCTTGCTCCCGTCAAGTTTGAGATAAAGAACTTTGATTGTATATTGTTGACTATAATACTAGTCAGACTATATTATATTGTTGAGGTAATACTAGAATATATTACATTGTTGACTATAATACTAGACTATATCATATAAGTGACTATAATAATAAACTTTATTATATTGGTCACTATAAAACTAGACTATTTTATATTGTTGACTATAATACTAATCTAGGACTATATTATATTGGTGACTATAATACTAGTCTAAGACTTAATTATATTGGTGACTATAATACTAGTCTAAGACTTAATTATATTGGTGACTATAATACTAATCTAGGACTATATGATATTGGTGACTATAATACTAGTCTAGGACTTTATTATATTGGTGACTATAATACTAGACTATATTATATTGTTGACTATAATACTAGTCTAGGACTTTATTATATTTGTGACTATAATACTAGTCTAGGACTTAATTATATAAGGGACAATAATACTAGACTATATTATATTGGTGAATATAATATTAGACTAGGACTTTATCATATTGGTGATTATAATACTAGACTATATTATACTGGTGACTATAATACTAGTCTAGGACTTTATAATATTGGTGACTATAATACTAGTCTAGAACTTTATTATATTGGTGACTATAATACTAGTCTAGGACTTTATTATATTGGTGACTATAATACTAGACTATATTATATTGTTGACTATAATACTAGTCTAGGACTTTATTATATTTGTGACTATAATACTAGTCTAGGACTTTATAATATTGGTGACTATAATACAAGTCTAGGACTTTATTATATTGGTGACTATAATACTAGTCTAGGACTTTATTATATTGGTGACTATAATACTAGTCTAGGACTTTATTATATTGGTGACTATAATACTAGACTATATTATATTTGTGACTATAATACTAGACTTTATAATATTGGTGACTATAATACAAGTCTAGGACTTTATTATATTGGTGACTATAATACTAGTCTAGGACTTTATAATATTGGTGACAATAATACTAGACTATGTTATTTTGGTTACTCTAATACTGGACTATATCCAGTGAGTATGCAACCACCTTATACAGTTATTTTACATAGAAAAAAAAGTAAAGTACATTCAAAGACAACCTAAACACATTACCAATAAAGAGAATCAAAAAGGTCTGTTAAATACCCTAATAAGTTGATAGTCAGCGTACTTTTCTGCCCACTCTCACATTAGTACCTGATGTCAACCATTTCTCACCTTACAATGAACAAACATTCTCCGATTTCAGGCTACATGCTGTAACCCAGGTTCTAAATAGAGATCTGTGTCACGAATAAAGGTCAATAAAAGGATGGAAGATGGACATGAAAACAATAATAAAGCAAGGATCACAAATATAAAAAATTTTAGAAGATGGGGAGAGGGGGATTCGTATTATATTATAATAATGTTGTTTCAAAGAGACTGAATATAATTTTTGCAAATTTTTTTTTTTTTAAATACAGGAAATGCTAGTAGTATGTACATGATTTTAATGTATATTTAATAAGCGTCCTTTCTAAATTGTGAAGTTGAAATCATAAAAACATTTCTCTGAGTGGCTCTAGTGCATCATTTCTTTGAAGTGCTCCCATAGTTTATTGTTATTTCATTCATAGATCATTAGTGGCTAACAATTCCGGATGTGTAAAACAAAAACAAAAAAATGATGCTATTCTGTAAAACACATTACAAGATTTTTCTTGCTTGATAAATTTTTATTGTTTATAAAACCATATGCTTTCATTTTAATAGCGACAAGCCTATCCTACAAGTCAAGCATGGAAATACAGTAAAACCAGTTAGGGACAAACAATAAACATCAGGGTATGAAAATCACTTTGCATGAATTCATTATAAGTGTGTTCACTACATGTATAACCATGTTTTACTGTTCTCATCTGATGCTCTTGGAAGCCCCGAACTCTGTACCAGAAATGGATCTCTTGCACCGATATAACCCTTGGAGAGATTCAACACTTCAGAGCTCTTTTCCCATAAATACATGGAGTCACTAATCACAGAGGTCCGACATTTGACACTCCTCATATTTAGTGATATCTTTCACTTAGCAGCTCAGATCAACACGTGGTACAGATTTCAAACTCATGGGTGTATCATTTCATATAATCATTATCACGTTATTCTCTCGCAGAACATACTGTAGACCTCAACAAAAATTTTGCTAAACTTCGCTCATCTAATGACATTGAAGATTTAAGTATTATTTACAATGTGCATCTATTTACTTTTCAATGGGATTTTTGTATATTATTCTATATTTTAATTCTAATTTAAACATGTCATTTGATTGGTAGAAAAATTTGTTTATTTCATATAACCTTTGGTGCCTAAGTCACAATGACTTATGTCAAAAACACACCAATCTGCTTTATTCAATTTACTTGTACAATTTGAAGGCATTTCCAAAGGGAAAATAGTCATTTTTTCACACTTGTCATGATAGAAAATTAAAATCATAAGGAATAAATTTTATAACCAAGTGCCGGCGACGGACAGTTTTGATACATAATAAGCATAATTTGTTATATCAGTTAAGTTCACGTCAATACATTTTAAAGTCACAGGGAATGAAAATCACTTCACTGTAAGCATCAATTCATTATAAGCATTTTCACTATAAGCATGTTTCACTGTATAACTTGGGTAGCTATTAAATTCATTCCTTAAATAAATGTAAGTTGAATTTTTCATGCACTTCACTTCTGGCTGTCACATACTGTATGTGTACTTAAAAAAGCAGGCTTCATATTTTAGCGGCTTTGTCACAGACAATGATGCGCTAATTCATGAATACCACTAAGAAATTATAAATACAATATATGGTGTGCTAGTCTGTAACGCTAATTCATGAATACGCCAACAACTCAATACCCAGTGATTCCACTAAATTTTGAATAGGCTAATTTATGTACAATATATATTCCTTATAAACTGAGATTGAATGAGATTGAAACAGACATCCTTTTTTTTTCCATGATGTATAATTTCCCAATTTATTTTTTTAAACAGATTAACATCACCTTCCTATCTGTTAAATTTGCAGAAATTTTGTAAAGAGTAAGGTGTTTGTTCACTATAACTATCACGATGGTGAAACTGGAATTTTTAGTAATATAAAAAATATATAAATAAAATTTTCAACATGCTTGACAATTTAATCTAGCTTTGATTAAAAAAAAAGAGAGAGAAAAAAAGGGAAACAAAGATATTGTTGACTTAGCTAGTATTTTAAAGAATTTTGGACAAAAACTGTAATTATGAGATTCCAATGCTAAATTTACAAAATGAAATGGACTATCTCCACACTTTCTTGCAAATTAGTTCTGACTCATACAAAAACCAGTTACCTTCAATTCTTGGACAACTTATTTTGTAACTTACTCAGGCATTATAAATGCAACTTGTAGATACATGTATAAAAATCTGGCCCTATGGGCAAAATATGTGACAATTTATTGACTTTTATGACAATGCAAGACCTGGATAAAGCTACAAAATATATACACACAATGTTAATAATTATATATATATTAACCGAAGGTTGTTGTTTTTAATACATATTGTGCAATTTATCACATATTCCAGTCATATTCCATACTTGTCAATTTTTCTAGAGTTTTTTCTCCATCCTTGTTGCTTTAACATTCAATATCTTAAGACTTAAAATTTTGACATTAACCTGAATAAACAGATGCATAATTATTTAAGAATATGCCAGAGACTGAACTAACTATAGTCTTTTTATTTTTGAGTTTCTGTCCAAATTGTACCCCATGCACAAAAAAATTCGTCTATACGAGTGATCCTAATTAATGATTAAAAAAATGCCAAATGAAAATATTATCTGATGCTATTTAGGTATATAGACACTTTTTAAATTAACTACATTTTTGCTGTCAGACAAATATCTGTAAATTTAGTACTTGAAAACTTCAGCGTTTACTCAAGAAACATAATTTTCCCTAGATAACCCAGAAATAAAATAAGCAATACTTGGTTACAATTAATCTCCCAAAATCATGAGAAAATGGAAGAAATGAACATATGTCCTGTTCTCGGCCCTTACATGTAACATTGAAAGTCGTGCTTTCTGTAGATTCAAATACTCACACTTTTCGACTTTGCAATGACACATGCTGCACACAGTAGTAGCACTACACCTTTTACTCCTTTCATCTCTGTAATATTGATTTAACTGTCCCCAATCTCAACAGATGTTGGAGTTTCATTCACACGGTCTCATCGGAACTCCTCTGATGCCATCCAATCACGCAACAGCACGATATCCATTAAGTAAAAACTTGCGGTTTCGCATAACCACCAAATACCTCCTATGCGCAGCGCAAGTTAAGTAAATTTTATCTAATAGTCGGTATATAAATAAACACGAGCTATGATAGCTTCATGGCCGAATTTAACAAATTTATACGCAAGAAAAAAAAATTAGCAAACATGGTAAAAATATGAAGTAAAAAAAAAAAAACATATCATGATCGAACCAAATAAACATTTAAAGGCTAAGAAAATAAGCACAGTATAGCACAAACATGTGGACTAAACATAAACACTTAAAAGGCTAAGAAAGAAGACAGTACATCACAAAATGGCACTCAAAACCAGGTCCAAATGCAGCCAAAAAGCTGGGATTTTTTTTTTCTGTTCAAATAACCATAGGCACTCCCCATCTTAATTGTTAAAAAAATATATACCTACTATATAGTATAGTAGGTATATATTTTTTTAACAATTAAGATGGGGAGTGCCTATGCAAATAACTAGATAATTGGATTTCAATGGCTTTTTCAGATATTTTTGAAATGACAGGGAGAACGCTGATAGGTCTGTAATTGCCTATCGTGAGAGTAATACTTTTCTTGTGGATAGATGTAACCTGAGCTTCCTTATAAGCTTGTTACAGTATCAGGGAAAGTCGAAGATGGCATGGACTAATGCATAATATTTGTGATAGGCTTAACTATGATTAGTCCTGCTAAGTGGAGTAGTTTTGATGATATTCCATCAATTCCAATTCAATTGCAAACGCATAGATTATACGGATCCACAGACACTGAGGAATGGACCTCTCCCCCTTTTTTTCATTTTTGTTCTTTAAATCTGGGATGGACACACTTTTTTCCTACATATGCATTACATGTGAACGATAATGTAACTTTTCGTCTCTGAAAGGGACCAGGCTATATTTATCACTAGGGTACGTGGGACCGGTGAAAAAAAAGAGGCTGGGGGGGGGGGGAGGGGGTTAGAAAGCCTATTAGCATCAAGTAAAAACATAAACTTACATTCCCGCTAGTTGAGTGTATTTTTTTTCTACTTAAACTACATCTGTATAAAATAGACTTTCGTACTTTTTCGTCTTTCTTTTTAAATGCTGATTTAAATAATGGTGGGTCGAGGAATTCAAGATCTAGTGAAACAAAATTTAATCTAATTTAAAATTCCACTGGAGGATAAAAGTGTCCATGGCCGTAGTAAAGGGGGAGCTTGCCCCCCCCCCCTCCTCCTCCTTCAATAAATTTGCCAATATATAGTACACTACAAAAAACAAAGCTACTTTATAGGTGTGTCCTTCAATGATTATGTTTGATGACTTTTTGCTTGTCAAAGAAATTTTGCTTGGTAGTGACCACCCAAACTGAAAATGTTTGGTTGCCCCCCACCCCCACCCCTTTTCACCGAACAGAAATTGCTTTCTACGTGTCCTCCTAAAATAACTTTATATTTATTTTCCGAAAAAGGCACGAGCAAAAATCTAATGCTTTAGGTCTAGGTACCACTAACCTTTAAGATTAAACTCTGAATCAAGGGTAGGGAACCACAACCCTCCGACCCCCTCTCAGTCATGCATGTTTTAATCTCGGAAGACCCTGCTAATCTAAGTGCCTGTTTTCCGATATTCACGCAGCGTCAGTCTTACCATTTTTTTTCTAACATTTAAATGGAAGATCATGTACTATTTGTTAAAAATAAACCAAGTATTAAAACGTTTATCAGCTCGAAAAAAAACAAACAATATTTTTATCAATTTTAATGTATACGTATAAGAGAGGCCATAATTTCAACACTTATTTCACATAACTGTGTATCAAAAACAAATACGTACACTCCTCTAATATGCTAAATTTTGCAATTAATTATACTTGTTAAAGAACAAAAGGATTCCAGGAGGGTTTCTAGGACTACACCTCAAGAGGTCCAAGATACTGTATCTGGGAACTTCTCGATTTTCTGGAACAACCTTCGCATATATACATGTATGCATGTGTACGTAGAAGAGAGAGAGAGAGAGAGGGGTCGGAGTTGAAAACATTTATCATGAAATTTAGGTGGTGCATATCTACCGAGGCGCCTGACGTATGAATTGTCCCCCTCCCCCCTCCCCATTTTTTTTTAAATAGACACGGATAATTCTCAAAAATACACGAATTCCTAGAATGTCAAAACATAACATTCTGATATCAGAATGTAGGAGTTCATTTATTGTTCAGAAATTGTTAGAAGAAAAATCTCAGAAAAGGTGGGTGGAGGGGGGTTACACCATCTTTACGTCAAGTGCATATTTATTTTGCAAAAAATATATTTAGAGATATTTTAAACCACTGTTAAAGAAATCAATAAAAGGAGTACATGAAATTACTTTTTTGTGGCTGCTAAACGAGGAAAGATTAACTGAAGTTATACCATAAGGTTTCGTGTTGAGTGAACGAGTGGGAAAACGGTTCAGTAGTCAGCTATCAATTAGGAATCATCCCCCGGGCTTGTGTGGGCCACTCCAAGCATCATATCGACCACTCATCTCTGGAGCACCAGACTGCTGGAAAACTACTGGTTAAAAACACTTGAATGGGAAACTTAAATAGCAAATTCATTCTGTGGTAATGAAATACGTGGAAGCAATCACTAGCTATCGCCATTAACCAGTTTGTTGACAAACGTAGGATGTAATTTAACGGCTTATCTATGCAAAATCGGTAAAGAGCTCCCAATATAAAAATCAGAGTCAAACTATTTTTTCTCTTAAAATAATAAACTCGAACCTGTACTTCATTCGTTATTTGGTACACCAGATATACCTATTTAAAATGATGCTACATCTTTTATTACTGGGCAATTATACTGTTATCTGTAACGTACGCGCTCATTTTCACAAAGTAACACGAGATAAAAGATGGTGTTACTGGAAAATAAAAGTATTCTATCAAATATGGAATACATGAAACGCGGAAGGGTGCATGCTTTAGAAAATACCATTTTGATAAAAATACTAGTAAATCCACGGAATAAGATGACAAGATGATAGTTAAGCAGCAGACACTTTAAAGACCTATCCTGTAAAGTGTTCAGCATTTCTGTTCAATCCTATAAAATTTTCAATATCATTTGCATGTACAGTGACAAAATACAAATTAGAAGAAATAGAAAAAAAATTGTTTCATTATCCGATTGTTGGTCCATTCGACTGACAGTTGAATAGTCGACTTTTCGGTAATATCCCTATAATATAACAAAAGTTCGCTGCCTTGAAGAAATTAATGACTCTGGCATTTTTAAACAATTAATAACTTACGACTAGAAAATCTTGATAGAAAATCGTTCTGTACATGTTCAAATCCCGATTTATCTAGAAAAGGTATTTCAGTGAAATATCATTTTAAGAAACATGTATTTGACAGTTTTCTCGTCAACAATTCATGCATGCAAACTGAATGGTTTGAATTTTTCTTAAACTTTAACTGATTCTTATAAGTGACAATCATTATAATTATTTTATATACAGTTGAACTTCAGTATCTTGAACATCGATATCTTGAACACCGCGGATATAGCAAAGTGATTTGGAAGTTCCAAAAACATTTTCTTTATGAATTTTACCCTCAGTATCTCGAAGCCATGGAGATATCAAAGTTTCAGTCTCGGTCTCAATTAAGTTTGATTTAAAATTGTATCTGTATTTAATATATGTAATAAAATGAAATATTTGAAAACATCATAAATAACCTGGAACTACATACACACTTAAAATAAATGTGATCAAACACACATTAATCAGTCTGAGTGTTGTTATTTTTTAACCTAGACATGTTAATATAATAATCAGTAATTTTCACTGACAAAATGTTATAATATAAATAGGTTTTCAGTATCTTCATAAAAATTTTATGAAGTTACAGCACCCTTATTTACCATTGTTATATAAAAAATTGATATTGACTGATAAATGTACCTAACATATTTATAAAAGTATCAACACAAAAAATGTAAAGCCTACTGCTTTTTCAAAATGGAATTCAGAAATGCTTTTGAGGGGCTTTCAAGAAATGGAATTGAAAGATATTTTTAAAGTGTGCTTTATAAGGTATCTTCAAACTCTTCTGTCCAATGGTTACAGTTTAGAATTTTACATAGAATATTACCTGTAAATCATTACCTTAAAAAAATTGAAATAAAAGAAAATGATATTTGTACTTTCTGTAGCAATGAATGCGAAACTATTCTGCATGTATTTTTTATGTGTAAAGATGTATTACATATATGGAATGACCTTAGTCTATATATTTATAATTATACATCAAAACGGGTAGGTTTTAATGTTCAAAATGTAATTTTTGGAGAGTTGCCTCTTTCAAATTCAAACTATGTTATTAATTTTATATGTTAAACAGTATATTTTTCATTGTTTAAAAAATATTAAAATGCCAAATTTAAATGGACTGGTAGCCTATTTAAAAGTGTACTATAATGTGGAAAAATACATATCTGTTAAAAATTCAACTGCTGATAAATTTGAGTCTGTATGGACACAATGGAAACTTGTTGGAAACTTAAATGCAAAGAAAAAAGATGAATATTAAGAGACAAAGACTGCATACAATTTGTTTTTTTTTTTTTTTACATAGCTTGTAAATATGGCTAAAATATTAAATATTGTTTATATAAGTATGAGTGAAGAGTGGAAGTGGGTGTTAAAAATCTATGTGCAATTTATTTATAGTGTATTAACTGTATCAAGTACACAGAAATAAAGCATTAGGTTTTCAGTATACATTGTAATGCTTCGTTGGCAACCATCAAAGGTTACAAAAACATAACCGTTCTTAAAATCCAATGAGATCAATGTTCATGTTTAACTTATAAGCAAAGCTTCCAACATCAATAATAACATCCTACTCCATTCCCCCTCTGATAAACATTAACAAATACTGTTTTGTAAAATATTTTATTTGTTTCTACAATCATATACAAAGTATATACATTTTAAATCTTGCCAAAAAAATAACCAAGATAAAATGCCATTACGAACTGACTGTACAGACTTTGTAATATTTACACAGACATTGATAACTGTATGAGTGGTGACTGAAATGAAGATATGCTAGGTAACATTTTCCCCTCAGACATTAGGAACATAAAAATGACAGGTATCATTACAATGAAAGTAACCTACTCACTTGATTAAGTCAATGTTAAAGATGATGATGACTTCAACTTGTCATGAAATTATTACAATATAAAAGAACTTTTGCAACAATTATTTCATTCATAGAATCATTCAAACAGTGTCTTGTCTAGACTTAAAAACAAACTAATATTTTTTGCATATTCCATAATGGTAAAAATCCTCTCTATAAATTTAATTTTGAGTAAATTATGAAGCTCACCTTGATGAATATTATCTAGAAGGCAGTCTCACACCAAATGAATGTTAGTGTGCATACCTAGATGCACCATCAATGCAAGTTTGGTTTATATTTACTTGGGAATTGACTTTTACTGTTCATTCATCTAAAAAATGCAGTCAAATCCAGCATCCACAGCAAGTCTGGTAGTGGGCATCCTTAGATGCAAGTTTGGTCAACATATAAAGGCTTATAAGTACTTGGGAATGGACTTGTTCCAAAAACTTTATAACCTGGTCAGTCAACTGGAAAATCTAGGTCAGATCTAGCATTCTAAGCAAGCCTGCTAGTGAGCATCCCTAGCTGCATCATTCATGCAATTTTTATCAACATAAGGCCTTGGCCAAATCCTGCACTTGAAGCATGCCTGGTAGTGTGTATACCTAGATGCATTATCCATGTAATTTCGGTTCCCATAGGGTTTAGAGATACTTGGGAATAGACTTGCTCTAAAAACTAAAACCAGATCACTTATCTGGAAAATCTAAGTCAGATACAGCATCTGAAGCTTGTCTGATAATGTGCACCCCTATATGCATCCTTCAAACAGGTTTTCTCAACATATAGTTACCATGGACTGAATCGCTCTAAAAACTGTGACCTTTTCACTAATATGGAAAACATATCTGGAAGTGTGCATCCCTAGAAACATCATCAATGCAAGCTTGGTCCAGGTAGGGCTTCTCGTCCCCTGGTAATGATCTTGCTCAAGAAACACTCTCTTGAAAATCTATGACAGATCCAGCATCTGGAGCAAGCTTGGCAGTGTGCATCACAAGATGCATCATCCATGCAGGTTTGGTCCCATTAAGGATTACACATGTACATGTAGTTACTTATTAATGAACTTGCTCCATAGCCTTTAACCTGCTCACTCAGCTGGTAAATGTCTGGTTGTGTACATCCCTAGATGCATCATCCATGCAAGTTTGGTCAACATAAGGCTCATCGTCACTTTCTTAAACTTTAACAAGGATGGATGCCAATACTAATGCCTATGCCAGGGGTATAGCATAAGTCCATCCTGACTGCCTTGAGGTGAGATAAAAACTGCACAAGTTGTATATGGGTCACTACAGTGAGAATATTGGGTGAAAGCAGAAATAACAAACTTGACAATAACTTAAACTATTAAGTGAAATTAAAAATATGTTTGCTGAACTGATAACACAATACAAAAAAACCAGTTCATATAATATATATTGCTCTTAAATTTGAAAATGTGTACTCTATCGATATTCCCCCATCGCAACAGAGGAGAAAATGTGAATCAATGTACAAAAAAGGTAAAGTAAACCCAAATGAGACTTTGGCATTTATGAAATAACTGACGTGATGATGCATAATATATGCGAGAAGCCGGCTCATGAAGAAAACATACATGGATCTAGCACACTTATAGCTGAGAATCTGATTAAATTATTAACATTAACATGTGTCTGTTAAGCCATAAAATACAGATGATTTTAACAGAACTGATCAATTTTTTTCTTTAATCTATCATCAAAAATATAATGAGCTGATAACTCTTTAATAAATGAAATACCTTACAGTGATTTTCTACACACCTGTTTTTCTTTCAAAACGTTTTTATAGAATGTCAGAAATGTACAACAACTCACACATACTTGCAATGACTTTATCGTTACACACAAGACATACAAAATTAACACACTTTTTTAACACAAGAATATATCTGCTCTGACATTCCGACTCTACACTGCTATTTGTTGGAAACTTGGTTGTTTCACTAATTCTTTTCAATGCAATTTCCTTTCACAATGGAAACAATGGGATAGCACTTGGACGACCTCTTATCAGTTTCTTCACATCTGAACAATCTTACGGACGTGAAACTTAACCTGCTCTCTACTGTCACAGAATCATTTAAGCTTGAGACGAATGTTTTTATTTGGTATCACCTGCACAGGTAAATTCTGATTGGTTTGCGGGCTCATTAAGTCTGGGACATCTGCACTAGGAAGTCTCTTCACATGCTGAAATAGGATAACACTAACAGAGTTTTTCTACACACAACTGATTACATCAACATATATTTTTGTCATAAATGTAAGTAGACCATGAATAAATGTTAAGATTTGTTTAATTTGGTAATTAAACTGATAATCAGGTGGGAGTTTGATTTATAACTACCTTACAAATGCAGCAATGAATTATACTTGGAGGCAATATGTTAGAAAATAAAATAAAAGTATAGGCTAACTAAAAAATACAGTAGGAACGCAATATATGCTATACTTGGAAATAATACTCCAAAATGACCTGTGAAATATTTTACCTGATTTGAAACAGTTTTGGTACTTTTTACTTCTGATCCTTCATCTTGTTTAAGGGGTGTGATTTCATCCACATGCATAGGAGATTCCATGGCAGTCTTAAATAAATCAAAAAATGCCAGAGCTGGTTAAGATGACTAAGAATTATCAGGGATTGTAATTGTATATAAGCAGTATTTTTCTAGTTTCACATCTGAAGAATCTTCAAAAGCAGCCATGACTTGCTAGTTGGTGCACTATTTGATAATCTGCCAAGTTGATTTGTGATTTAATATTCACTTTTAGGTGATTGATAAGTTTGTATTCATCATTGGTGATAAGCTTGTAGATTTCAAATTAAAACTCTTAATAATTGCAAATGAAAAAAAAAGTGATCAAAGCTTTTTTTTAATGCACAGTCTTGTTGTGAGTGAATGTACAATGAGGTATCAGAATTCCAACTATAAAAAGGAGACTTGGCATATCAAAGGAATACACAGAAGATGTGGAATTGGCAAGGGCAAATTACATGTTAAATAGTACACCAACAGATATGTACAGTGGTGCCACATTAATCCAGACGCCATTAATCCGGACCCTACAACTTCTGGATGCCATTAATCCGGACCCTACAACTTCCAGATGCAAATAATCCGAATGCTGCAACTTTTGGGCTATATTTTTTGGGAACTGATTTTTTTCCCGGTTATTCTGCCTCATTAGTCCGGATTTTCATGTTCCACATCCGAACAGCTAATATTTACTACAAAACGTAATATTTCATTGAAAAATGACCCGTTAATCCGGATGGTAATTTTTCAACGAACAACTTTTTCACACTTATCTTGCAGTAGGTAAAAACATAACCCGTGAAGTCAGTTTGAAGGGGGTTACCTGTGACCTCTAAACAATAGTGTCTATAATTAGTGTGTGTTTACCTGAAATAAAACACACATCTTTTTTATTTGGTTTGGGTGAATAAATTGAAATTGAACTTGATGCAGCTCAATGAATAAAAATTAGCTTCTACTGTGTATTAATTAAATATGAATCCATTCAGAATCAAATTGCTAATGGTTTATAAATTTCAGAAAATTTTGGAGAGTTGTGAATAAAACGGAAAAAAATCACGAGATTTCGTAGTGGTCTTGAGTTTTACAAAATATGATTTTCCATTTCTTATCTCAAAACGTAAATGTATTTGAAACGCTTTATTTTTCTTTTCATTTGACAGTTTAAGGACCCTCTATACACTAGAGGAAAATATTTTTTGGACATTGAGAAAATTATAGTGTGTAAAGGTGTAAGTATTGAGCTTATCTATCACATTTTCAACATAGGGTGCCTTGCATTTAGCCCCAGGAAAAATGTTCTCAGACAATGAAGTACTGATGAACATAAATCACTGTTGTTTACTTAAGTGGGCAAAATACCTGCAAATGAAGTGTTCTATCTATTCATCTTGGCCTATTAAAGTGTTATGAATGCTTGATTGATCACAATTTAATTATTTTAATTATTTTATTCTTGGTCAAAGGGCAGATCACTCTATCTGCATAAAAATACCACAAAATCACAACTCTCTAGTGTGCAGTGAATAGAGAGCTCTTAAAAGAATAAATAATTCTATATAAATGAATGACATTACTTTAGAAAAGAAAAATGTAATTGGCGTTACATATAGAATCCGATTGCATTTTTTCAAGGTATTTTTAAAAATTTAGAGTCTGTAGAAAAAGATATTGATAATCATGAAAATGGCATGTGTTTATGTTGAATGATTTCGTGTGGGATGTAGGCATCCAGATTAACGAGGTCCCACTGTATATAGACCCTTATAAAGGTTTGATATCTTATATATATCTCTTGTCCTTTTATTGCTAAAATTTTGAGAATTTTAAGCCAAAGAACATCAGACTCAATTTACAGTCATACCCCATGCATATATGACTCAACCAGAAAGCATGGTTCTCTTATAAAGAAATCTTACTGCATGCACAATATTGTCTAAAAAGTTAGAGAAGAGAATTCCTAAGACATTTTCCCCCAGTTAGTCAGCAGGCCAGGATACCTGACATGTGGCCTCCTCGGATTTTGCACGCTTGACCTGGCACTCTGGCCTGATTGGTGACCCTTCCCTTTTTCTACTTGGACTAAGAGCTGAGTTGTCAATGTGCATTGGTGAACCCAAGACATTCTAATAAAACACAAACAACATAAATAATTCCATCCCTTAATAAACTTCCAATTTTTTTTTTTTTTGGTTTGTTTCCTTAACTTTTGTCCCAGTTCTAAATGTTAAGTCCACAATGCCATGAATACTTTAATGTGAGAATTTTCATTGAGACTATACAAAGTGTTGTGCATGAGATAATTTCTTATTTATAAAATATTCACCTTAGTAAGAGATCAATACTAAATAGTGGAAAGAACCTTGTTTCACTATCCTAATAATCAATATATTGGATAGTTGAGATTTAAAAAAAATTCAAATCAAACCTGTTCATCCTGCGACCTTGACCTTTTGACCGGACTCTCATTCCCTGTGGGGCTAGCTTCCCGTTTAGAATTAGGACTCTGCATTGAACTGTCAGAGGGAACAGGGGAGGTTGATACGACCTGTTAATAATAAGGAAACAAAACATCAATGTGTGTCAATCTAATGCCTATATTTAATACATTGAACACAGTTCTGACAACACTTCAAGACATCCTCAATACCATGTCCTCTGTTCATAAATGTATACAGTAATTCATTTCACCTTCCGTATATCACCATTGATGACTTCTTTACTGGTAGATGAGGAACAGTTGGTAGACTTCTCCGAGTCTCGACTGGATTCTGGGTCCTGACTTAAATCCTCTGAGAGGTCAACAGACATGGAATTACTCCTGACAAGTTCTGTGTCTGACCTACTGTGATGAAGACCTTGACCCGATTCTGATTTACTGGCACTGCCAATACTACTCCTATGCTCCTGTAATAAAATTAAATTCAATAAATATTCCTGAACTGAAATGGACAACAGTTTATAAGTCTATGAATGTCCTATCAAGTAAAGATTTTATAAAACAGGAGTTATTCTCAAGAACTGAAGTTTTGTTAGCACTGTTTACCTTTTCCACAGATTTTTGACCCAGAAATGGGGGGGTTGGGGGGGGGGGGTTGGTGGTGGTGGGGGGAGTGCATTTTTTATTCAGTGCTGAACTTGCTCAAGAACCAATTTTGGTCAAAACAAACTACTGGTGGTTAGCACTGACCATACTTTTATTTAAGGTACATAATCCCCCTATTCACTCATTTAAAAGTTTGCCAGAATGCTAATTATTTTGCAAAAGAAAAATTTCAACACAATTCCAGCATACCTTTAGGAGTATAACTTGACAGAATTTGCCTTTAATAACTTGACAATTTTATGACGGTAATTCATTACAAACTATTTGAAGAAAACATGTAGTATTCTACTTATTCCTTTAACCATTCTTTCAAATTCCTTTAACCCTTCTTACAATGAAAAGTACATGTAATTTTGATGCCATTTTGATTTTAATGAAAAAAAAATACCTTGCTAAAGCTAATTCTTTTTCTCTTGTGCACACATTTTTCAAGAAAAATAATTCTAAATGTAGGGGTGTGCACTGAATTTGAGTGTGTATTACATACGTGTATTCAGATTTGAGTGATAAGTTGTTTTTAATTACCACATATAATCTTCATACCTGTGCTGCAGCTGCCCTTCTACACTGTAGTAAAATTTTCTGTGGTACATAAAGATCCAGCTGCTTCCTACAGAGTAAATACATGGATATAAATACTTGCTGTTAATTCTATAAACTTCTCTGTTCTTACCTAAATTAATTTGTACTTTACTCACCTTTTTACATGTTTGATTTCCACTTTCATTCCGTCTTTCATGAGTTTGATATGGTATGCATGTTTATGAACTATAATGAAAAATACATGTTATTAAAAAAAAAAAAATCCAACAACAACAAAGAAACCAATTTGTGACTTCACCCTCATTTTCACAGACATTAACAGACATTCCCCTCTACTTCAGCTGGACTCCAGACAAAAAGCTGAGAGAAAGTAATAAAGCTTTTCAACTGAAAATTGTGTAAAGGTTAGGTAAGTAATAATTCATTTTTAAAATTCAATCAAAATAAGTAAATGTTAGGAGTGAAACGGTTCACCGCGGTATTTTTTCTCAGTTTGATACACGGTGCAAAATCTCTAATTTTCAGTTCGGTTCATTTTTCATTCGGGATCGTTATTCAGTCAGGTTTGGCATAAGGTAAAACACGTTACTCAGTATGAATAAGTATAGAAAACGTAAATTTTTGATGACTGATAGTTTGTAAAATAATTTTTGACAGTCAAAAAATTCTAATCAATTTCTTCTAGTCAATTTGCAAATAAAAATTCGTAAATTAAGTGACTAGATTTAGTAAAAGAAAGCATAAAACAAGGTTGAATTTGTTTCCTTCTATCAAAATGTATTGTATCGAGAATAACTGTACCGAGACAAAATTATTCAATACATATCGAACCGTGAAGGAGGTGTATCGTTTCACCCCTAGTAAATGTACATGTATGTTCATACAGACCCAAATTAATATCTTTCACTTTTTGGAAGAAGATTATAATAATGGTAGAAACAAACATTTGGAAATCGCTGTGTTTATATAAGTTACCTTTTAATCTTGCTTGCAATGAGAAGTCCATAGCTTCTCTGTACAGTGTTTTACTTATCTGAATTTCTCAGTTTAATAAAAAGAGAATACACCTCTGTGTTATATGAAATAAACTCTCACCTGTGTTTGTAAAGGACTGTATATCAAAGGTCAAATCAACATTTTGGTTCTGATTTTCAATTTTTACAAAGGTCAGCCCAATGAACCATCTGCATAAGTGTTTGCCATCACTAAAATTATCAAAAATAATTAAATACAGGATTTGCATAATTAATAGCAAAATTGACTTTCGCTGGGAAAAAAGAACACTGCTTATGTACAACACATTCTTGTAGGTGTTCTCTGTGTGCAATGTACACTGGTTATTACGTAGAATTTATCACAGTCCTTTAAGATGTGTTATAAAAGAGGTTAACTGTACATTATGAAACTGATAAAACCAACTTATTTAATTTGAAACTCTCTACAAAATGTACATATATATCTGGAGGTTTTCTATGCCGTTAATATTGACTGTACTCACCTCTCATTCAGAGGACCTAGAGGGGCGGGGTTTACATGAGCCAGCTTTATACATGGGTTCCTCTCTAGATTACCCACTAGTAATCGAATTTTTGACTCCACATAGCCGTTCCTGTAAAATTGTGAAATGACGTTAATGGCAACCAGATTTATCAAACCTAGTTCATTCTACAATTAGTTCTACAAATACATGTAGGTCAACAGTCAGCTAGGTAGTAAGTCACAATATTTTAGCTTACCATTCTAAGTAGTGCTCTTCTTCCAATGCACTTGCTGTTAAAACTATATAATGTCTGCAATACAAATGTAAGACACAGACATCAAAATGCACAATCTATCAAAACAAATACAAATTACTGTACTATAAAACACAAGAGCTATGATGGTATACAGATTGAATTTTGTCATATCTAGAAAAATTCCAACTTCTGCCTTAAGTACACGCTTAAACGTAAAGTAAACTTTCTCTTCATTTTCCTTTTATATTTTCCAATCTCCTTAGGAGTAAAACTAAAAAACACTACCCACCCAGAGGCAGGGATAATGGATCATTTTTTAATTATAAATTGGTAAGCAAATTCACTTTTCACCATTTCCTTACTAAAGAAGCTATTTAACATCTAAAATTGTGTTTTAGCTAGACTGAGTGTTTTAACAACTTTATTATTATTATCCTTAAGATTTGTATGTTGATAATTAATTTGTTATTTTCATTATAGCTTTTTTTAACTTTGCAAAATATCATTAATACTGAAGGAAGCTTACTATTGGAAAAAAAAGTTGGATTGGCCTGGGATTTACATATATTGATATAAAATTTCTGATCCCACTGCAGATGTTGAGATTTTAAATCTCATTCCATCTCTCATATTTAATTGAGTTTTAACACATGAATAATGGAATAAAGGAATAACATTAGATTCAACATACTTGTACTTTTGAAAAAAGTTTGAGGGCTCAAAAAGTGTGCTCCAGCCATCTTTATTCTCATAAATTTTGCTAACAATCTCTAGCCCTGTAAATACAAAAAAATCTAGTGATGAACAGCATCAACCTTTATAAAAGATAATCTTCTTCAGTTAGAGAAAAACTTTATTCCATTGCAGTTATATTTTCAGGTTTTAGGGTGTAATGCGTCTTGAAGAAATTAACTCCAATGCATAAATATGAGTGTACTTAGTCCTGAGATTTTGCAGCGACACCAATGATCTAAGACAATTTTTTTTAAAATGATGAATTAATTTTATCTCGTAAGAAAATGTCTCAAACAACACTAACACAAAACCCTGACGATGGCACTTAAACCATTTTTAAAATCTTTGCAGGTTGAACTAAAACAATCCCTATCATCAAGGATCACCTACAATTATAAATCATAATGAACTCTACTTGTAAACTGATGTGTAAATACTCTCACCATCTTTGAGTTCCTCTGTCATGATGCTGCGTGTGGAGAGAGTGACATTGAAGGTAGAGTTCTGTTGTGGGTATGCTGGGGTGATGATAGGCATGAGGTGAAATCTGTCTGAGGTGTTTACCTGTAACATAAGAAGTCAAAACTTTATATAAATTAATTTTACTTACTATTGGTCTCTGTTTCCAAATAGAATAGTTTTTACTGATCTGAATGTTATATGTATTTTAAGCAGGGATTGTATATATTTATTTATCTGGGCTTATTAATATCCAGACAACTATTTAAAGCTTGGCTGAACTAATTAACATTCAGACAACTCTTTAACCGGACTGATTAACATCCAGACTGATTTCATCCAGACATTAACATCCAGATTGATTAACATCCAGACAACTATTTGACTGGAGTGATTACCATCCAGACAACTATTTAACTGGACTGATTAATATCCAGACAACTATTTAAAGCCTAGCTGAACTAATTAACATTCAGACAACTCTTTAACTGGACTGATTAATATCCAGACTGATTTCATCCAGACATCAACATCCAGACAACTATTTAACTGGACTGATTACCATCCAGAAAACTATTTAACATCCAGACAACTAATTAACTGGACTGATTACCATCCAGAAAACTATTTAACTGGACTGATTAACATCCAGAAAACTATTTAACATCCAGACAACTATTTAACTGGACTGATTACCATCCAGAAAACTATTTAACTGGACTGATTAACATCCAGAAAACTATTTAACATCCAGACAACTATTTAACTGAACTGATTACCATCCAGAAAACTATTTAACTGGACTGATTAACATCCAGACTGATTTCATCCAGACATTAACATCCAGATTGATTAACATCCAGACATTAAAATCCAGACAACTATTTAACATCCAGACATTAACATTCAGACACCCATTTGGACATACTCACTCTTGGGTCCCACACAGGAAATTGGAGATTGTATTTGTTCTCATGCTGTAAGGGTTTTAATAACACAGGCTGAGGCCATTCCCTACAAAGTTCATGTAAATAGACCTCAAAATTAAATCATTGTTGAACTTGTTAATCAATTCTAATAAATCAAGCAAATCATTTTTTTTTTTTGATCAAATATGAAATAAAATGCTGGTAAATGAATTTCCACAAAAAAATTGAAATACTGTTTAATTCAACAACTCAGACAAAATATCTAAAAATTATTTAATCACACAAGTATTCTTTTTACCATTTATGAATGATCATGAAAAATTTGTGCAGTAGAGTTGCAGGGGCTGCATTAGGGTATAGCTGACAGACTCTAGCCACAAGCATAGCCCAGGAGACGCCACCCAGGAATCCTACAGCATTGGAGTATATACCTTTCTCTGGAACAAACAATCATTCACAGATCACATATTTTATTAAAGAACATTCTATTCTAACACACATCAACAGTTCAGCCTCATTATTCTGAATACCAATAATCCAGGCACTTCACTTTCCAGACAATAGGGGTGCAACGATACACTAACCTCACGATACGATATGTATCACGGTATTCAGTTCACGATACGTATTACGATACATGACAAGGTTAAAAAGTCTTTCAAGTTTGTCATCATATTTTTTTTGGGTAGATCTTTGAGTTGTGACAACATTCTAAACCAATGATGAACATTTACAGGGAACTATTGGGACCTTTCCTAATAATCTTCCTTTTTTAAATTGGAATGAAAAAGGAAGACATTCATTCTTTTATTCCTTTTATTTACGTAGAAAACCAGTTGTCATATCTCTCGTGTTAATACGTTTTAGTCAACAAGACAGCGTATTTTCATCGAAATACACACGTGATGAAATATCGTGTATTACCAAAGAATATGTTTAGATCTAAAGGATTAGCATTTGTCTTAACATCTAATATGTTGATGGTGCGACCGTTTCGGCGAGCGCATTGTTACATGTACTTAATTTTAAGATCCGCCTCTTCAAACCGCACAAGACATTTGGATCGTCTAGACTGTGACATCACATGATGCCGTATATGTTAGTAGCATTTCCATAAACGAAGTTTGAAAAGTGCAAAAATTTTAACAATGAACGTTTGATGTACTATCTGTATGCAATATCCATTAAATTAAGGTGAGTTTATTTTTCGTGAATATTTAGTTGTTGTTACCACGCGAACGATGTTAGCAGTGAGAACAACAAGCGATGCATTGTGGGTCCAGAATTACTGCGGAAAAAAATTCTATTGAATGAATGTGCAGTAGTCCGAATTTTCTCTTCACCCAGGCATTGTCGTTAGAGCTCGCAGTGACGAGCGGCACTTTGCTCGCTTTAACTTATAATCACATTAAGTCCTTCTCCGTGTTAAATCTGAGGTCTGTAAGATGCTGGAGATGAGTTTAACTGCCGTAAATGCATTTTCGGCGACCTCACGTTTTGCTTGGAAGCCATTTTGAAATAGTAATGAAGGGTATAAAACAGACAGAAGGGATAATTCTGGACCGATTGAACCGAACCGCGATATCAGTTTAGTGTATCGTGAATTGAACCGTGGAAAAATATACCGTGATATACCGTCAAACAGTTTATCGGTGCACCCTTACCAGACAAACTTTGTGGGGAACAATTTATATATACCAAGAATGGTTCAATAATCTGAATGATTCATTAATCTGGACAGTTTGCTTGGGAACACAAACATCCGGATAAACATGGCTTAATTGTACAAACACTGTAGAATATCAGAATTTTGTGTACATAACTGAAAAAAATTGGCTTTGTTTTTCATGCATTTATAATTATGAAAATAGGCTCATGTCATTTGCTGTTATACCAGCAGGTGGGGTTTGGGAACTTTTGGATTTTACACTTCAGTTATGGTATGTTCGACTTGTTTTGGAAGTTGAAATACATGTATTATTTCAAGATGAGATTTCAGTACTTCTCTTAATTCCATTCTGTAAACTATGGACATGAATAACAACACCCAAAGAGAATTAAAAAATCTGCCTATAGTCACCAGACATCTGATAGATCTACACAGATCCCTCATTGGGGTTTGGTGGGAAAATAATGTGACCTAAAAAGCCTCTCAAGCAGTAGAAAGATGTCAACTCAGTTTCTCAGTCATAATCTTCTCTATAATATAAACTAAGAGCCAACACAATCAAGCAAGCTTGGTGCCTTTTCTAGAGCCTATATCATAAGTGAGCTGAAGAAGTTCAATAACAATGGTCAAAATACTGACGCTGAAATTGTAGTGGGTCACCTAAGTGAAGTCAGATGACTTCAAAATAAACAGAAGTCCAATATGACAGAATACTTACTTTTAGCCCACAGCTTTACCGCTCTCAGTGCCATTCTAAAGCTGTGCTTGTTGGGTACGAGATGCAATATTTCATCAGTAACTCTACACCCTGAAATCAATAAACTGACATGATGGAAAAATCTAATAAATACATGTACAGTCAAAACTCATTATCTCAAACCCGATAGGACTGTGAAAAACTTTGGGAATACCTGATGACTCAAGATATCAAGGTTAAAATACATAAGGAAAAAGTGGTTGAGACTTTCAACACACTTTGACATACCCATAGATTTGAGATATCAAAGTTTGAGATAATGAGGTTCAACTGTATTTAAGAAATCAATATCAAAATTCTAGCAGGTTCTGCAAATGTTGAAAAGATTTTCCAAAGTTGCTTTAACTACAGTGGGTCTCTGCAGATGACAGGCAAAAACTTAAACAAGAGGCCCATGGGCCACAATGCTCACCTGAGTAATGTTGGCCTTGCTGTTTTTCACCTGATTTCTCTCTCTCCCCCCCCCCCCCCCCCCCCTTGTAGTACTTATTGTGGCCCTGCCCTTCTTCCAGGGGTCATGATTTGAACAATTAGAATCTACACTACCCCAGGATGCTTCCACATAAGTTTCAGCCTTTCTGACCCAGTGGTTCTTGAGAAGAAGATTTTTAAAGATTTTTACTATGTATTTCAATGTAAAACTTGGATTCCCTATGTGGCCCCGTCCTATCCCCTGGGGGTCATGATTTGAACAATTTAGAATCTACACTACCCTAGAATGCTTCAACATAAGTTTCAGCCTTTCTGGCCCAGTGGTTCTTGAAAAGAAGATTTTTTTCTGCATATTTCAATGTAAAACTTGGATTCCCTATTGTGGCCCTGCCTTACCCCCTGGGGGTCATGATTTGAACAATTTAAAATGTACACTACACCAGAATGCTTCCACGTTAGTTTCAGCCTTTCTGGCTCAGTGGTTCTTGAGAAGAAGATTTTTAAAGATTTTTACTACATATTTCAATGTATCACTTGGATTCCCTATTGTGGCCCTGTCCTACCCCTGGGGGTCATGATTTGAACAATTTAGAATCTACACTACCCCAGGATTCTTCCATGTAAGTTTCAGCTTTTCTGGCCCCGTGGTTCTTGAGAAGAAGATTTTAAAAGATTTTTACTACATATTTCAATGTAAACTTGGATTCCCTATTGTGGCCCTGCCCTACCCCCGGGGGTCATGATTTGAACAATTTAGAATCTACACTACCCCAGGATGCTTCCACATAAGTTTCAGCTTTTCTGGCCCGGTGGTTCTTGAAAAGAAGATTTTTTAATGATCTCACCCAATTTTCATATTTTCTTGATTATCTCCCCTTTGAAGGGGACCTGGCCCTTCATTTTAACAATTTAAACTTCCCTTCACCAAGGATGCTTTGTACCAAGTTTGGTTAAAATTGGCCAAGTGGTTCTTGAGAAGTTGAAAATGTGAAAAGTTTACAGATGGACTGACAGACAGATGGACGATGGACGGGTGATCAGAAAAGCTCACTTGAGCTTTCAGCTCAGGTGAGCTAAAAAAGAACATAAGAACTATGATCCGATAGCATAATGTGTCTTTATCATACACAGTGGAACAGATTATTTTACAGATCATTGTACAAAATACTGACCATTTAGACTTCTGACACATTTTTCATTAAGGTTT